ATATATATGTATGTATGTATGTATAAAGAAGAGGAATCTGGAAGTGCAAATAACAGAGATCCCTATGATACGATCTCTTCTTATAAGATAAGGTCTTCGAAAAAGTAATTTTACTAAACCATAATACGATGTAGAGTTCAACTCTAAACCGTCTAGCGGTAATGTTATAATGATAAACAAATTTTAAACGTTAAAAAAAGGAATCCACGAGTTGCCCCAATAGGAATTTAAACACAGGGCCCTTTGCTGTTTGTGTATAAAAATAATTTATTAATTATTATACATGATTAAGCCACACTTATCGATTCATTTGTACCTGGGTTGGTGTGGGTTTTATTACCAAGTTATAGATCCATTGCATCCAACCTGTAGTAGGCAATATTCTTCCAGCCATCACACTGTTATAGGAAATACAATTGCTATGTACTGAAAAAGAAACACATATAAATTATTATTTGTATTTCAAATACACATTTCACAGAAGCAACGGTAATACTGTATTTATAATCCACATTAAATTCATAATTATTCTTTTAACAGACTGGCAATCGACATTTCGGAAAAACAAATTCCTTCACAAATATGGACAAGTTTACCAATTTTATATAATTTTATATAATTTGAGAACTGAGTTAGCAACATATAATATCCTACCTTTGAAATTAAGAATCTTGCGCGTTCGTTACGTAGATGCTCTAAACTAAATTTGTGATGACGTGCTAGGTGCAAATTTTAAGAATAGGCACCTCTAATTTTTGAGAAATGGCACTCTCAGACGTCATATTCAATAACTCCTTTTATTTTTTTCATCCTCTGAATGGGGGGTGGGGGGAGTTGCTGAGGCACACTGAACACCGATCCTCTCCAACCACCAGATACGCCACTGGAATAGCTGTTTTAGATGAGCCTACTACGCCCATTTTGTAATAAATAATAATTAAAAAACATAAAAACGTGAAATTGCACAAAATAATGAAATTTTGGGAGACCAGGGTTAACCAAAAAGTGAACCAAATCGCTGTAGCAAGTTGACTCAACACAACATTCAGCTACACGATAACACAGCCGTCGTGACTCGCGACAGTGGATGAAGGAATTTTGACGGACTAGGCCTGCTTAAAATTATCCATGAGGTCACCCTAAGAATACACACCTTTCTCGGTTGAAGTCGTGGTATTTAGCAACTACCCACTGAACTCATAGGTACACTATTTTCTTTTCTCCTTCCTCCCTTTCCTCTTTCCTCGCTTCACTTTTGTTTTCTCCCTTTTTTCGGTGAAGCTGACGGTGTGGAGCATGTGATAGGTCTCTTATCCACTTGTCTTATGCAAATAGTATTGGGACCATGTAGTAATATAAGGTACTGTGGAATATCAATAGATCTCACCTTTAAGTTCTGGGATCACGACAAACAATGTTAATAACTCTGGAATTGTTGCATAATTTCTTCCGATGTCTTTTTAATTTGTCTCGCCTCTTAACCACCCGATCTGAACTTGTTTTATATGGTTCCTCTAATCTGGCTCTTTCCACATTTACCAGTTGGCACTCAAATCGATTCCGGGGGATAAGGGAATTGATAATTTCCCCTGCGACGTGTTACTGTTTCCATGATTTAAGGTCAAACATTCTATGCTCACAATAATCCCATTACTAATGCTCCGGATCCTACTTTAATTTTTTTTTAATGGACCCACGAACTTACTTAAACCCTTAAGTACATGTCTCTTTACTCGAACCACTTAATATACCGGCCATGCATTCCTGATTTGTTATATAATTGAGTGTGCTTCGATACACCATTAAGAATTCTCCGGTACTTTGTTTAATTCTCGATCTTTTCTCCTCTTCACATATTATCAGGCGGTGCTGTAGCACTGGGACCCACAACAAAAGCCTGATTTCTCCCATGGTTTATCAGGTAGTGCAATTGGTTGCATTAGGTATGCCTTGAGTTAGCTGACTTATCATTACTTTGACATGTAACGCAATTATTTACCATTTCTTGGAATTGATAATCCATCTTATTAGGCCACCAATATTTTTGTATTACCCTTTGATAGTACATACGATACCTTGATGTGATGCATGTTAGCAGCTTAGCTCAGTCGGCTAATCTGGTGGTAGCCACTGTGTGTGCGCTGAACAGTGGAGATCTCTAGTTCCCCGGTTCAATTCCCATCGCTGCCTCTCCTTGTTTCAGCTAGAGGGCTGGAATACAAGTTACAATTGCGCACCGTCTCTCGGATGAGACGTTTAAGCCATTAGTCCCGTGTGGATTTATGGCCCATGTACACGTTAAAGAACGCAGTACACTCTTTGGAAGGGTAGGGTATTGTCTCCCGGTTTACTGTCCAACCACCAAGAAGGACCCCACTGGAAATAAGTCTTCTGGTATAAGTCTTCTGGTATATCCTCAATGGCGTTGCAGTCTCAGATAAGGACTGGGATTAGGTATAAATTTGCCAATTATTAGAGTCACAAAAGTTTGTTCTAATGGTAGGCCAACTCATGCGATTTTCTGCACTTTATTAAATGACACTTTAAACTGCTCAAAGGTACCAGTGCCTATAATGTTTTTCACCAAGGAATGAACGTCCCCAGTCTGTCAATTCGGCAGCNNNTACCACAATAATTTTATAACTCAATACCATAGGCAAGGCCTAATGACATGTTTCGGCAAATCCTTCGCCATCTTCAGTGAAACGATTGCTAACATGCAATCTACTATTTAAAGGGAGTGAACAACTGTGAAGCATTTTATTTTAAATAAATGGGAATTGAACCACAGCTATTTGAACAGACATCATGAAATTGCATTTTTAATGAATCGATTTGACTGTAATTGTAAAGAAAAAAGAATGGCATGAATAAAGATGATGATGTAATGATGAACATCAGAATGACAAAGTTAAATTAACATGTAAAATTTGCTTGTTGAGAGAGGGCGTGTCCCATTTTATATGCAACCCCTCATTGATTTTCTTCGGCTGGCCGTTGAAGCGGAACACAGTACACGGAAGAAATCCTCGTTGCATGAGGTTTTATGAGCTATTAAAAAGTGTCGCAGTTTCGCAGAACGTAGACCACTAGGCACAGGATCTTTCACAGAAAACATATTTCTAATTTTAAATGAAGAAAACACTAATTTGATATATAAATCATTACAAAAATGTTTCGTTAAAGCATGTATCTTATGTGAAATAACTTTAGAAAATTGACCAGTGTAAGGCAACTCAAAATAACGGATAGGCCTTATTCGATTTTTCGTTCGTTTGTTTGTTATCGGAGTGAATAAAGACAAGATATCTAGAAATAATTTTGGCTAGGTTTTCATAGTGACCTCAAGGCTTTAATTGTTATCCTTCGAAAAAATATGTTTCCAATGCATTAATTGACAAAATTATTTCTATATATCTTGTATATACATACTTGCTGTTATTTCACTGTGAAAAGGTCCAAAAAATTATGATCACGACCCACCAAGAAAAAATCCTGGATACACCCGTGGGATTTTAGAGATTCTATGAGGAATGATGTTTACGATTTAAGTGGTAGTCATAACCATGTTAGTTTTCTTTTGATAGACAAAATACCACGGAAATGATATACTAGTATAACCCTTTCAGGAAAGCAGACAACTGTCACAGAATCTATTATGAACAGCAAGTACTCTCGTCAGCTCTCTGCTGCTCATTAAATCAGTGGACAGTTAAATTATCTCTAAACACTGGTTTAGTCAAAGTGATGCTCTGCAGGGGCGGATCTAGTGGGCACGCGGATGAATATTATGCTGCTGTCTGTGGTTCAAAAATGTATTTCCTCATAATTCATAAAAGACCATCATTCGCTTAATTTATTTTCCATAATAATAACTATATTAGTTGTTAACATATTACGAGAGAGAACTTGAACAGTCACCGAAAATTTGCTTTCGGGACAACTATTATAGTTGAGCCTGGGCGTGGGTGGCGCCATCTTTCAACGCAAGGGGATTTCGTACAAATCAGGAACTATCGCAGATGCCAGCAAAACAGGTTTAAATGTGGACTTTTGAAAGCTAAACTTAATATCTCTTTTATTGAACATACCGAAGATACATCAGACCTACTTATACAAGCATTTTGAATTTATTCATTCTATCGTGAGTTACAAAAATCACGTTTTTAGAGGAGTAAATATTTCACTGGTCGGCGACTTAAAATCGGCCTGCGGAGGTGTCATTTTAGTCGAGGTTCGCGTCATTTAGTCGAGGTTCGCGTCATATAATCGTAGCCGTAGTGCTAGTCGAAGTTCATTTTAAGAATGCGAAATGATGTAATTTCAAAATTTTAGCTCGAACTACGACTAAAGTTGGTTTTAAGAATACCGGGGTGAGTCGTAGTAGTGGTAGTCGAAGTTCGTTTTGAGAATACGAAATGATGTAGTTTATAAGTTTTAGCTCAAAACTACGACTAAAGTTCGTTTTAAGAATACCGGGATTTACTGGGGTAATTGTTTTTACCCCATGATTTGTTTTTCAATTAATGAGTTCATCGACTGCTGTTACTGATTATCTCCTAGCTAAATGATATAATCATAAAAGGGTCCACTATACGACAAGACGCTGCCCCAATTATTGAAGTGATTGACAAATAATGTTATCCCTCTTTACCAATGTAAGTCACTTTCTTGAAAATCTTGGTCATTTTTTGTATCTAACCTATCACGCCATCTACACATGATTTCAGAGAATGGCTCTATTTAAATAAACTTACTGCCCAAATAAGTCGCTTATTGAAAGATCAGAAAGGATTGTTTTTTTATCAAACGTATTTGTATTAATCAGTTGTTTACATTTTTCAATAAATCAATAGGTATAATGTGGGGGTGGCGATAATGTTGAGATCTAGGTGCTACAAATGTGAACATCAATATTTTGCTATAGGCCTTGAGGTTCTTGACCAAAGTATTTGATAATTTATAAAGAATATCGTTACAGTAGTCTACAACATAGAGTATGTAATTATTATCGTGATAACATTCCGTTTAAGGAAAAACTGAGAGGGTTGTAGATTTTCAAGATAATCAGTTAAATCAATTAAAAAATTATAAGAATACGATCATCATCATCGAGGTCGTCCAGGGAGAGACGTTCACAGAATGATTATGGCACCTCTAGATGGTTGGAAATGGCACTCTCAGACTTAAATTTGAATATAATTTTCTTTTTATCTTGATTAATAAAATATGGGGGGGGGGGAGTGGCTACCCCTCCCCTTGAATCCGCCACTGGAAAAAATAACATGATATTGTTCGTGAATGTTATTTATTTTGTCTATGGTTATACACTAAAAATAAATATTGTGTTATTTTTTGTTTTCTTGAATATAGTTCCATAGTTAGCATTCACAATACGGATTCAGTTGGCTGTGCCATTCGATTGACCAGTTGAGGAAATGCGAGATGGTTGTTTTTACCCAATGATGTGTTGTCAATTAATGAGTTCATCGACAGCTGAATCAAACTGATCATCTCCTAGCTAAATAATATAATCATAAAAGGGTGCGCTATACGACAAAATGTTTAGTTTACTTTTATTAGGTTTAGTCGAAGTGTCGTTGCCCCGATTACACAAGAGATTACATTGACAGAAATTATCAATTTTATGTAGTAAACTCATTACCGATGAAAATCTGATTCATATTTTTTTTCTAACCTATCACGTCAGTCCAAATTATCTCATGGAATAGTTGATTCTATTTAATAAACTCACTGCCCAAATAAGCCGCTTTATTGAAAATCAGAACCTATTTGTATTAATCAGTTGTTTACATTTTCAATCAATGGGTCTAATGTGGGGGTGGTGATTTGTTGAGATCTAGGTGCTAAAAATGTGAACATCAATATTTCGCTATAGACCTTGAGGTTTTTGACCAAAGTATTTGATAATTTGTGGAGAACATCATTACAGAGTAGTATAACATTCATGAAACAAGAGTAGGCCTATGTAATTATTATCGCGATATCATCTCCGTCCAAGAAAAACCTGGGAGGGTTGTAAATTTTTAAGATAATCAGTTAAATCAGTGTAAACTATAAGAATACGATTATCATCATTTTCATCATCATTTTCACCATCATCATCATCATCATCATCATCATCCTTATCATTTTTTCATTACTATTATTGTGCTACTGCAACCATAGAGAAAATTATATTTTCTCTATGCTGCAACCAATCATCCTATCTACTCTTCAAAATCGGTCGAAAGTCTATTCCAAACTACTTCTCCCCACCAGTCAACCAAACAGTACTACCGGTAATACATCGAACTAAATCACAGACTTTTACGAAGAAGAATATAGTTCATTACGAACAAGCAAATTCAACTTTATTGCTGCAAATACAATCGACGACAAAATATCCGCTAAAATTAAATTCGACTGTTATATATTCTTACTGGACCTAAACATTATCATGTAGAAGCTCCGAGAAAACTTTAAAAATCTTAAATAAACTTTTTTCTGTAATTAATATCACTATAAAAACAGAAACATTCCATTGGTGAATTCCTCTCGGTATGATACAGTATTTTTTACTGCTTCCCTGTGCGTACAAACGGAGTGAAAGTACAATCCAAATCAACTATCGTATGCCTGGCTATAAAATGTAGATACCATTATTATTTATTTTACTACAGTAAAGTATTGAAACCACTTAATCTACTGTAAAAGACTCCACAGTTTACCTACTAACTATAGGGTATTGTAGTTACACATTGAAAAAATGATCGAATATATAAATTAAGAACATAACAGTAATAATTTTGACATTAACATATCATAATTGCAACAACAAAGTATTTTAAAATTAAAGTAAGCTAATGTAAACGTAAACAATTACATTTATTTACTATTGTATCAATCATCGTACACTGACAGTGACGGTTTATAGCAGATAGACGACGTGTTACTCTAGTCTCGCTAGCTTCGCCTAGGCCTAGTAGGCCTACTGTTCGTAAGCTAAGATTTAAACTTACTATTAACATCGTTTATCATGAACAAAGACAGCTAAGTCATGTAGTAACAAGAAATAATAAGATTTAAAATCTATGATAGAATTATACTACACAAATGATATAGTTACTCAATGTTTCTCCTGAAGTAGATAAGGAGGCATTAAAACAAACAAAATGTATTACGAGATAATGCAATAGCCTGATTCCTTTTCGTTTATGTGGAATTCACCTTGAGAATCAGCATATCCCACAATTTGTTTTGGGTTATGTGACTTTCCAGCTTGGACATGGAATGATAGATTGTCCTGACCATAAAGTGATAACTTAACGTCGTTGAATTGTTTCATTTCTTCACCCTCTATTTTGGTGATGAATGCTTGCAGAAGTCTTCTAAGTCCGGCCTGTTCAGTAGTTTGTCTGGTGCCTTCGTTCCCACACAGTGCGATTATCAGTCGTCCAAGAGTGCGTTTGTTGATTTCGTCCACTCGAAACTGTAAATGTGAAAAGTAATTTTATTTCGAACAAGAGTGTAAATAAGGCATTCCCGATAATATTCTTTTATAGGATTAAATCCAAATATTGGCTGATTGTTGTTTTTTTTTTTTTTGTACTAAAACTTTCAGCGTTTTTGTTGTGTTTGTGCTTCAAAATTAAGTTCATAACTTACTTATCTTGAGCTACCGTAAGTAGTTTTTATTATTGAGATTTTACGTGTTTTCCCTATTTAATGACAGATGGTATATCTAAAATACTTTTAAATTAGCTTAACCGTTAAATGAGAGTCTCCTTGTGACAACATTATGTCAAATATACGTACCACGATTTCTTCGTGTTGTTTTATGTTCAAAAGAACAATGATTGTCATTTTTACACTCCCACACTGAATCTTAACACGTTCACCATTCTGACCGCAAAATATCAGCTTTAGGTTTGAAAATCCTTGTTTTCGAAATGAGTTGGCAAACTTTATCCAATATTGTAGGAGCTTCGTCCAGTCTGAATATGCTCGTGCCTCTCCGATGGAATTTAGAAGGTGAGCAATACGTTGTTCGTTTACTTCTTCAGCAAGACTAGACGGCTCAACAATCTTAACATTTAACTGGGATAACAAAACAATCCATACATGGATAATAATACAGGCATTTATGCCGCGCTTTCTGCCAAAGGGATACAAGGCGCAATAAAAATCAATATAAAGATATATAACAATTAACGATCAACAATGACGGCAGATGAATCAGAAAATAAAAACAGGAAAATTGTACAGCGAGATTACTTTGAGAACAAATTTTTCTTTAGAAGCCGGCGAGAACTAAGAAAAGACACATTTTGTAATCGCTGGGAAGATCATTCCAAAGCCTAAGTGAAGCAATTGAAAAGGCTCTATCGTTAGCTTGCTTATTAGACCGAGGTATATTAAGGCAAATGAACCAAATCATAGAGAAAATATTTTCTCTATGACTAAATGAACGGAGATTATGACCATGACGATATTGTTGCCTAGCGATAAGTGAACAAATGTAAGTAGAAAGCACTGTTTTGGCGAGTAATTGAAAAAATGTGATGGAAGTGTGCAAAAAAGAATTCTCTGTCAAATCGGAAACCAGTGAAGTTACCCTAATAGTGGACTAGCAATATGGGATTTATCGAGACGAAAGGTTAAATTTAGAATCAAAATAGGCTATTATACATTTTTTGAAGGTGTGTGGATTGTTCCAAGTGCTTTCGGGGCAAGGCATTCTACGTGTATTTTGAACGCCTATGTACTGCTGCTGCAGTACATGGGTAAATACGTTCAAAATAGTTCGTGAAATTCACTGTTGAACTCTTAAGTAATATAAAATAAGCCTCATTAATTGGCATTGTAACCTGGTAAGAGTGCTTTCGAAAAATGCTCGAGTATTTTGCTAATGCACAAGTGAATAAGTCGTTTTAATTAACTGGGTTTTTTTATGTGCCAAAAATATAAAGTTACAGTTAAAGTTACACTATTGATTCATTTGGAAAAACACGATAGAGCGATAGTTAAAAAATATTTTCAAGTTTAATTACCTTCGTATTCACTTCACCGGCGTTAGACTTTTTGCATTTTAATATATAGTCATTGACAGTCGCCTCACAGAAGTGTTTACCCAAATTATCCCATCGAATTAATCCATTGTTCCCGGTTGATTTTATTTCTTCATGAAGCAAATCTGAGCATTTGTATGCAAACTGTTGGTGTGCTGTTACACGATCATTGTGCCTTCTTGAAAACATTTCTTTAATGACAGACCGAAGTTTATCATTACTAAAAGTCTGCTCCTCGACTTTCTGAAAATAAATATCGATTGAACAGTGGTTTCTTCATTCAAGCATAAGTTGTCGTTGGGGTGAGGTAATATTACCAATTCATATTTGAATTGCTTACTTTTATCATCGTTTATAAATCTTACTTATGTATCTCGTATTTGGCAAAGTGATCGATTCAATTAGTTTTTAGCTCTTGGCATCTCTATCCTATCAAAATTTACTAATTTATTTCATCCTTTTATTTAAAACGAACAATTCAGTTTCCATCGATTTTTAAGGGTTTTGCCAATGTTACTACTTTATTTAATGATGATGATGATGATGATGATCATCATCATCATGATGATGATCATGATGATCATGATGATCATGATTGATGATCATGATGATGATGATGAGGATGATAATTTGAAACCACAATTTGAAAGCCCGAACCACAACCGTTTAATGATATAACGTATTTATAATTGTACACATTCAAAGATTAGCACCTCGACAATAAAATGTAAAATTTTCACTTTGGTATAATTATAATAGGCCTACATATAGCAACCTTCAAAAATACATGTAGGTCGTATATCAATTAAGTTAAGCTTACCGCTGGCGTCGAATTCATGGTTATACCTATAAAAAAAAATATGATAAATATAGATGATAAAAAAAATCACAATCGAGTAAAAATATAGGCCAAAGCTTTGTTTTCCATGGATTCACAAAATAGATATAGGTCTATTGCAACACTATACCATATACTAGCGTACACGGATCTACTAATTCCATGAAATTGGTTTAGAATTGAATGTTGATAAGATTAGCCACATAAATAGTTTTTTTTTTTTTTTTTTTTTTTTTTTGTAGAATATCAATGCTTTAATTTCTACAAAATTTTGAACGTATTTACCATGTACTGCAGTAAAGGCGTTCAATATATAATAAAAACTCATAGGTCTACAAAGCCCTGTTCAGACTTTTGGACAAGTAAATGTGAGATGCCTAAATATGGTCATGATGACAACACATTATGACCATATATAGGCACATCATGACCATATATAGGCACATCATGACTATATATGGGGCATAAGCAGTTTTATGTCAAAGAAAATTTGATAATCTGGACAGATCTTAAAGTCAGGCTCCGGAGGGGAAAAAATAATATGTTCTGCAACTGATTTCTCTAAGACACAAGAAGCATATTTGACGAATGACTGGGGAACGGGTAATCAGATACAGATTTTTTAATAATTTAAAACTGGGTAAATATATGGAAAATAGGGTAGTTACGCCCCCCTTTCCCTCAGTTTTTAAATATTCAAAAATCTGTATCTCATTTACCGTTCCCGACTCTTTCGTAAAATATGATTTTTGTGTCTTAAAACAATCAGTTGTACATATCAAAAATCCTGAGCCTGGCTTTAGGTGTAATTAGTAACAAGAATCAAACATTACCCCTACTGTAAATGAAATTCCGTACAGTTTTGTGCCTCTGTGTTCCTCACTTGAACGAGTAGTAAAAACAAATACCCTCTATCTCTGACTGTAGTGTATCTGCCTTTTGCGCACCAAAGACCCAATCGTATTGGGTGATAAAACCTTATACGAAAAATAAGTACCCTCTTTATGTGTTAAACCAGGGAACAGTTAAATTCTGGTTAAACCCGCCTAACTTCGGAATAGGTGCTCGATGTATACGCTGGTTGGTTGTAGATAACTTGATAACTTGGAAGATAGGTCAATGTTCTCTAGTGACCAATCACGTAACTAAAAAGCAAACTTTGCATACAAAATTAGACCTTAATTCCCAGTACTGCGCGTCTTATCAAGCTATATAATTAGCTGCAATTACCGAAACTGTTCAGAGTGCTAGTTCCACAGAACAGTAAGTACATGATAGTTTTTTTTCTGATAAAATTAGTTTAGACACCGGTATAATTGAACTTTTTAAACATTCCTTTTCTTATAAAAAAAAAATGTAATGCTTTAACTTCTTCATTAACATTTTAGAAGAAAGACTAGTTCGTTTTCACTAAACATATTATTGCCTCAATTTTTAATTACTGTTTTTAATATTAAATTAACCCTTAGGCCTACATTGAGCTGAATGTACATTTCTATTTATTTGTTACTAAGATGTTTAAAAAACATTTGTATGCCCATATAGTCATGATGTGCCTATAATTATATGGTCACGATGTGATGTCCTCGTGACCATTGAGGTATGTCACATGTTGTTTTTTTTTTCATTCTAAAATGAGAGTCTGTTTTACCTTACAATCAGCTCACTTGTATGTGTCACTCTCGTAAATAATTTTCAAATTTTGCAATAGGCAGTATCTTCAACATTCAGTGCAGCCCTATGTTAAATTCATCATCATCATTATTATTCCTCTTCTTCTTCTTCTTATTATTATTATTATTATTATTATTATTATGTTTATTATTATTATTCTTATTATTATTTATATCATTATTATCATTATTATTTTATCATCATAATCATCATAATCATCATCATCATCATCATCATCATCATCATCATAATCATCATCATTATCATCATTATTATTATTATGTATTATGCCATTACGTTGTTGGGTTGTGTTTTTTCTTTAGTCATTTATACAGCAAAGTATCCACATTGAAAGTTGTGCCGTGCAATTCCGTTACTGTACAGAACAAACCCAACATGGCACCTGTAAGTACTTGATCACGGCATATAAAACATTACTACAAAAATCAACATTTGTTATTATTGTATTACATTTGGAATCAGTCAAAATGCAGGATTTCTGTTTGTTTGAAATTGAGCTATGCCTAGAATTTAATATATATTATGTAATTCAATCCAGAATTACAATGCTCATGTATGCCCTATCATAGTCCTTATTATAGTTCAAACTATATTCTAGTCCAAATTTAACACAAGTACAGTAATTGCCAAATACTGTACATGGTAAGATTTAATAACGTTGCCGACAGTATTGTGGCAATATTATTTTAAAGAATGGGAGCGTGTGGCGCAGCGTGTAAAGGCCAACTCAGACAGCGTCGGCCGACGCAGCCCGACCCGATTTATCGTCGGGGACAGTCTTAAGCCGTCGTGAGAAATATTACACATGTTTAATATTCTACGACGCGACTGCCACCGACGCACACCATCGCGTCTGCGTTTAAAGGCCAACTCAGACAGCGTCGGCCGACGCAGCCCGACCCGATTTATCGTCGGGGACAGTCTTAAGCCGTTGTGAGAAATATTTTGGAAATATTAAACACGTTTAATATTCTACTACGCGACTGCCCCCGACGCACACCATTACGTCTGCGTTCAACTCACACAGACCCGACGCGACAACAAGGCGTTGGACTTCTGATCGTGTGAGTTCGAGAGTTCGAGACTGACGGTCGTCGCATATTGCTTGTGTTCTTGGGCAAGACACTTTACTTACGTTTTCCTCTCTTCACCCAGGAGTATAAATGGGAGGGTCATGCTGTGACCCTGCTACGACTGTTCCAGTCAATTTTGTTAACTTAACATTTAATACTTTTTCTTTAAATACTTTTAAAAATAATGTGTCAGAATGGTATAAAGCAGGGTGGTCTGACAAATTAACTCAAAAAATCTCGTTACACAATTAACTTCAATCTTCTTCCAAATTACAAAAATACTTACTGGACAAAACTAATTTCTATGGTTTTTGTATTTGGCTGTTTACTTTTGTATTTTAGTTGTTATTGTTGTCCGACAGCACCACACGAGTTGTGTGTGCCACCGTTCTAAAGGTTAAGTGTCAATAAATTAATTAATTAATTAATAACTTAGGATAAGTTTGATCACCCAGTTGGTCAAAATTGCCTTTGCGTAGGGTTTGACAATCCCCTTATCGCGTCGAAGCAATTCAATAGCTGGTCGTTGAAGCGTGCGAAATGTACCATTGTAAAATAGGGGTATTTAGTTTGTGTGAATGTAGAGAAAGTTGTAGGTGCAGGCTCATTGTACTTCAAAATAAACAAAAAGGTAATATTAATATTATACTTCAGTAGGTATACATTTTTTAAACATTGTACAAATGCTACTACAGATGCTTCTACCATGCACTTGTATGACTCATTGAAAATGGTATGGTCTGATTATCAGATCTGAAACCGGAGTTTCGCCGAGGAGAATACGTGGCCCTAGCCTAGAATATCGTCATTTATATACTGTCATAACTACTATATTTGTTATGTAAATACATAAAAAAATATATCTATAAGTTCATCTACACATGCACAAACTAAAAATAATATTTCAAGAATATGCAAATAACATTTTAAATTTTAACTCCAAAGCTAAGCTCCTTCTGCTCGTAAATACGGTCGAATACTCGTTCGCTATTCTGAAGCATTGGCTTCTAAACTGCCGTGACTACTACATAAAAACTTCGAGAGGATCGCCCCATTTCTGCTAAATCCGTGGGCCTATGTTTTACACGGAAAATTTTGAAATACCACGGTTACAAAATTTAAAAGTCCGACAAGATCTGGCAATCTTATGGATTAAAATTAAGATTACTAACTGTTATCAAATTTGGAATAGGATAGAAGAACAATGGCGAAAATCGGACAAGTAGAAGTAAAGTTATGAAGAGAATATGTGCGAAAAATAGCGAAAACAGCTTAAAATCGAAGGTTTCGAATTAAATTAAATGAATTCGCGACGATCAAACTTATCCTAATGAGCAACAAGAATTAGGATACATCCATACGAACGAACGAACGACTTTAAAGATATACTGTCTATCGAGAGTTGAAAAATTTGAAAATAATAAACATAATACTTTTCGATATTGTTTTACATTAGAAACTTGACTCGTAATCGTTTTAAGAAATGTTTCCAGTAAAGTATCTAGTGACAAATATTTGTTTCCGTTTGGAGGTTAATTGTCTTTGGGAACTGACACCTTGGTGGTTAAGATGTTCGAGATCAAACCCTTTAAATACCCAACTAAAACAATTACACACACCAAATATTTTAAGACATTTCACCCTGTATCGTTATTCCTCAAAACAATGTTGTATGTTGCTTATTTTACGTTAAAAGCAATGTATCTTGTAATTTTATGTTCCGACAGATATGCATAGATTGCAGAGATGGTATATCTACAGGCGATATCTACGGTTTAAATGGTCCCATCAAAAGCAACGATTATTCTGCCTTTAAGGATGTTGCCATTAAGATGATCATGAATACAAGACCATGGATTCTTAAAGATGCACAACTACTAATTTCTTTACCAGATGGCCACGAGTACCAATTATTTGCTGGTAATAGAGTGAATAGGTTTACCATATTCCGACCAGATTCTAAAGCGGCACCGGTATGTTTTCAGAAAGAGAAAAGTTGGTGGTTACTTCTCGAGGAAACAACCGCAAATACATTTACTTGGGTTAAAGATACGACTTATCAAGTCTTACCCTCATTATCGTCTTACTTTATGAAGGCAATTACCTTCGGATAACCTGTCGATGACATAAGTAATCAATTACAGAAAAGTCATGTAGAATAATTATAGTTTGTGTATACATCATAGGTCTACATTTGCTGATAAGTGTCCGATACTTAGTTCATGTATTCATAAAATATTATGAAATTGTTCAGGCCTAATTGTTCAGTTAAAAATTATAATGAAACGTACCATATTCCGTGTGCTCAACAATCAAACAAACTTAGAAATCTCGCCTCTTAAATTACTTAGACAACAACTTACGTTCATATATGTTTTTGTATTCTAGTGATAGGCCTCTTTAGCCTATATATAATAACAGCAGTTTCATAATCGTTCACATAAAACAAGGGAAAAAAAACTAATAACAATAATGATGGTAATAATGATAAGGATCATAACGATTTAAGGCCTGACTAGAACAGGTAAAATCATGTAGTAGTAGCGCTTATTAAGTTTTCTTTAATTTTGATTGTCCATTATGATTTGATTTCTGTTTTATATGTTTTTATAAGTCTGTTAGTATGTGAGATGTAGAGTTATTGTTTGGTTGATGGGGGGGGGGGGAAGAAACAAAAATATACTGTGGACCATGAAGAGGAAAACTTTCGATCAACATGCGTTAACACTAAAATTACTTTATTAAAATTATGAATTATTCATTGATAAACATCTGTTTTAATTAGAATTATTGTGCTGTATTCAATTTATGAAAAGTCAAGCTGAAATATACCATATTTTTATGGTTCATGTAAAATTTAAACTCATTCCTGTAGAAACCACTATCTTTGGTATTTTTTGGAATCATGAATTTACTAGTTTTATGGTAAAAACAGGGCCTGTTCAAGTCTCCTTTGTGTTGTTAGAGGTAGCAGCTCTATATATATTGTGAAATAATAATAATAATAATAATAATAATAATAATAATAATAATATTAAGCCTAATAATATTATAGGCTAATTCATTTTTATATTTTACTGTGCAATCCAAGGAAGTTAATTTTAAATCTTACCATGCTGTATTTTTGACCAATAAATTACTTTGACGTTGACTTTGAATAAATTAATTAATGAAGAAGTGCATTGCAATTTTCTACAAGCAGAGCGCATTATTAAGGCTAAAAACTCATACAATGTTAACAAAGTTTGTTACCTTCAGAAAGTGGAACCGGGTAGGTGGCATCGACAAGTAAAATGGTTTTCCAATATTAACAGGGACTCTCTTACCATCCATGTCCCTGGCATTAATCAAGGTGACCATATAGCTATCGCTAATGTTGTAAATAAACACTTAGCCAGTCACTCTCAAAGTAAGAATGCAGTAGATACAAAAGATCTTCCTGCATATCTCCCTTGTCCTGTGCCACCTACCCAGTTCCACCCATTGGAAATTTACGAGGATCTGAAGAGGATGTCTGTTTCGAAACCAACTGGTCCAGATGGTGTCCCACAAAAGGTGCTTAAAGCATGCGCCTACGAATTCAGCCTACCTGTAACACATATCATTAATTCCTCACTTGCGCAAGGCAAAGTGCCCTTGCAGTGGAAATTGGCCAATGTGATCCCCCTTCCGAAACAGACACCCCCTTCTATTAACAAATTAAGGCCAATTTCCCTGACCTCTACCTTGGCTAAAATTGCTGAGAAAAGAGTGTCAAGTTTTGTGATTGATACAATTAACCCTTTTATTAATCAACAACAATATGGAAACCAAAAAGGAGTGTCCACGACCCACTGCTTGATAGATGTTTATAACTTTTTAATGTCAAATTGTGAGAAACGAGGTTCAATATGCACTCTTCTTCTTACAGACTTTACCAAAGCTTTCGATTTGATCGATCACCGAATAGCTTTTAACTGTTTATATAACTTTGGTATCTCTCCATCTATCTTGCAGTGGGTCGTTGACTTTCTTTCAAATTGCAAACAGAGGTGCAAGTATAAAAACGGTTACTCTGATTGAGAAGTTTTAACTGGAGGTGTCCCGCAAGGGACTATCCTAGCACCAATCATTTTTCTTTGCATTATTAATTCTGCCCTTAATGATGTTCCTATTGGTGGGGATGTTCATATCTGGAAATATGTTGATGACCTGACACTTGGAGAGAGTAGGTTGGTGGAGGGTCAATGTTCCCTTCAAGCTAAACTTGACTCACTTTCTGTCTGGTCACATACCAACAAACTCAAACTGAACCCCTCCAAGTGTCAGGTTATGCAAGTCTACTTTGGCCGCAATGATGTTCCAGATATAAGCATCCACTTATCCAATAACCGTTTAACGGTTGCTAATAACGTCAAACTACTTGGAGTAGTTCTAAGCAGTGACCTAAAATGGGAAAATCATGTTGACCTAATGGTCAAAAAGGCTAATAAGAAACTATTCATGTTAAGAAAATTAAAAGAGGCTGGTTCCAATAATAATGAGCTGTTAACAGTCTACATGGGATACATACGGCCCATCCTAAAATATGCAGCTCCTCTGTGGTCTGGGGGACTTACAGTTTACCAGAAGACTTCCTTGGAAAGGGTGCAAAAACGTGTATGTCGGTCCATTCTTGTAAACAATTATGTTGACTATCAGGATGCTCTCGAAAAACTTGGGCTGGAATCACTCACACAACGTAGGATTTTATTATGCAAAAAGTTTGCTATAAAAATTAGCAACGATAAAAGATTTAGTCACTGGTTCCCAAAATCTAAAAATATTTCATCAATGAAACTTCGTAAACATAGAAATTATGAAATGCCTTTCCTGAGCTAGGACTGAACGTTTTAAAAATAGCCCCATCCCTTATCTAATGAAATTAATTGAAGAATAAATTTAATTTTGCAATTGTTTTTAACTTTGCGAAATTTTGATGGTTTGGGTTCTTTTTTTGTATTGTCTTTAAAATAGCCCCACCACTTATCTAATGAAATTATTTTGAAAAATTCAAATTGTGCAATTTTAACGTAGTGAACTTATACTGATGCTTTTGTATTGTTTTAATGTGATGTTTTTGCCGTTTCTCGTTCTTGTTTTCCTTTTGTACAAAATACACCAATTTAGCTTTTGGCTTTTTATGAAGGAGTTTTTTTTAAATAAAGATACCGATTATATATTAATAAAACAAGAGCGACCGCTCACCGGTTGCGCGTTAAACTGAGGTTACCACCTTCAGCGTTTAACGCTTCGTGTATGCAGCTTTCAAACGAGGTTTTGAGTATTCGGCAAGGGTCCATCATAAAAATTAATTTAAAAAAATAAAAAACAAAATGTATTAAATTTTTAAAAAAATTGAATAACAAGACGTGACTCCAACTCACGACCTTTGGTTACTTAACACTTCGCTAACCGACCGCGCCATCCACGCGAGGTGTCAAATTAGTGATAATGGGAGTTATGTACAGTCCTTGCTGAAACCCCTGTTTTGTTTTGTAGGTGTATGGGGCACCCTGGAGTTTAAATTAAAAAGGGGCCATGAACGTTTGTTGGAAATCACCTCTAATTAATATGTGTACAAAATGTCCTGCATGTCCGTTCAAAACTGGCGACGCTGGACGCTTTCAAAGTTCTGGTATCAAAAACAAGAACAACTAGATTTGAACTCGTCACTGAGGACGAGTAAGGTGATCCGCTGCGCGCACTTTGACTCTCAGGAAGTGCGCGCGGTGCGGATTGTACAATTTTTAAATGCTAAAAAAACGGCCTAAAGTATACGCTAATTCAGTTTAAAAAAAAAAGAATATGGAGCATTTTAGAAGATTTACTCATGCGTACGCGCACGTCATGACGCACGTTCGCATGGTGATGTCACAAAATGTTGACTCCTGATATGAAATATATGTATCAACTCTCATTGACAATAGCCTGTTGGTGAGGGACTTATTATCATTCATAATATTTATAATATAAAAATTCAGTTTTTAAATTCAGATGGCAATATGATGACGTCACAATGTCCGATCAGCCATAATGATCTATAAAATCATATCTACAACTCATGTGCTTTCAGAATATGTAATAAAAATTGGGGGGACTCCTCAAAAATATGGGGCGTGGTTCTTCAAAATGTGCAAACGCAATTTACTTCAACTTTGGAAGCTTATAACTCAAGATTGGTAATAGCTATCAGGGTCAAACTTGGTATTCTAACTTACAAATATGGCCTTAGATTAACAGTTATCCCTTCCCTTTTGAAGTTATCTGCACTCAAAATAGAAGCTTCGTTTAACGATGCATATTTTTTTGTGAGGTCACCCTGCGTCCATTTGAGTGGGTATATACCCCTCATATTACAGATATATTATCTAAGTGTAGTTGTCTCTAGCCACATGCAAGTGCAGGCTGATCAACTCAATTAAAATTGAATGGCATATATTCAAAGTTGGGACCAGATCTATAAATGTGAAAAACGCCTATGTTTCTCAACAACGGATCATCATGTGGACATTTAAAATCTTTTCTTAAATTTACCCCAGTTAATCAGATATATAGATCTACCTATAAACCAAATTTCAGCTTTGGTACTCAGCTCCTTCATGGTTAGATACTATGTTGAAAACTACAAAATAACATAATCGGAAATCACGAAAGTTTTTAAGAGTTGGGTCATTCTATGCCAACTCAACAAATGCATTACACCAGGGTCATAGATTTTTTAATTTTTTTTTGGACACTGTCTCAGTGATATAGATATTTATGTGAACTGAAAAACCTGAAATTTTGAGACTCGCCAATTCATTCATTTTCTTGTAGCGGCACTTCGAGGTTAAGGGGGCGTGGCCTCTCAACAAATGCATTACAACATTACAGGTGATAGATTTTTAATTTTTTGCACCCTCCGGCCTTGTGAATAGAAAAACCTGAAGTTTTGAGACTCAAATTTCCTTTTCCTTTTCCCGTAGCGGCAATTCGACATAAAGGGTGTGTGCCTCAAATTAACTTTGATTTTCGTATGCTAATATCATCTTACAACCCCTTTAACCTTTTTTGGTGTAGGACACCTTTTACTGCTGATTCCAAATCCTTAAAAACATGTTTTTAACACATCATCAACAATAATACCCTACTTTATGTAAATATTTTGCTTTAATTTTCTAAATCTATGTTATAGACCCATAACATTTTCTATGAATTTCAAATTTATTTATCTAAAGTTATTTCTGGTTTAATTCTTAATGTGCAACTTCAACTTGGGTAATAATAACCTCATCAAATTTGTATTGTGGGTGACAGTACATGGCAATTGGGACATCACATACATAATTTTTTGTGGCCAATATGGTAAATTATTTTCTGGAAACTTTCTATTCTGTTTCATGAATATATTCATGTTCGATTTATGAATAGAAACTTCCTAGAATTCGTATTATATTCATATATATTTTGGGCCACGCCCCCTTAACTTCAAACTGCCGCTACAGGAAAATGAACGAATTGGCGAGTCTCAAAATTTCAGGTTTTCAGTTCACATAGAAATCTATATCACTGAGTCAGTGTGGCAAAAAAAAAAAAAAAAAAAAAAAAAAAAAAAAAATCTATGATCCATGGTGTAATGCATTTGTTTGTTTGGCATGGAATGACCCAACTCTTAAAAATTTTTGAGGAGTCAATATTTCGGAAACTATATATCCTATAAGGCTAATTTTTTTTTTGTTGGTTTAGCATATAGTGGATAATTTTTGTGGAGTTTCATGAAAATCTGAGACAGTCATACAGGATTTTTTAATCTGGTTGATTTGACATGGAATGACCCTACAATAGGTCAAAGGTCAGAATGTATTGTTTCCGTTCACTATTTGAATATTTTTTTCATTAAGACGAATATAAACATGAATCTTCTGAATAATTTGCAATCTATTGTGAGTCTCTGTGACCAGTAGATACCGAGATATGACATTACAAGGTCAAAGGTCAAACTTTCAAAAATCGCATTTCCCGCCATTTTGTGATAAAAAGTTGTATTACAACAAATAGGGACATGCATATTGTGAACAATTTGAGACCAAAATCAAGCCTCTTTGACCAGTGGCTATCGAGATACAAGCGTCCAAATCAACAGGCGGTCATTTTGAAAAACGCCCCCAAACGGGACTTCCCCCCCCCCCCATATCTGGGAGGTATATAGGAGCTATATTTTATCTAAATTGGTCCATCTTGCCAAATCCATCGAGAAACAAAGGTATCCTAAAATTAGTCACGGATCTCATGAAAATGACTCTACTACTATGTATAGAAGTTGGATTCTAGGCCTAATACCAAGTTTTTTGTTATTTTGTCTATTCATTTACAGAATATCTGCCACGGTGACAGAAATATTTAATCAGTGCCTTTTTTTTCTGAATGATTTAGTAGGAACGTTGTATTTCGAGCGTTATAAGAACATTTCATATTCTATAATGTGCTCCGTTAGTCCATTTTTACCATCGTGTATACAACTTATAATATAGTTTTCGGTTATTAATTTTTAATATTATTTTGTTGCAACCTGAGCAGATTTTATATTGGATGTACGCATGTCAATACAGTATACTCTTTGACTTTGCTCCTTAGCAAATAGATCAAGACATCGGCTGGGAGATGGAATGTAAAGAGGGGATAACAACATCCAGTATAAAAAGTCTGAGTTTACGTCTGGGCGTTGATGAAGGGGACAATAAATTAATACGGAGAGCATTCAGTCTGTTAAGTGAGAAACCAAAATGGGTTTTCAAAGACACCGAGATCGGATTTATGTTCCAAAAGCACTGCTACGTCTTGTACTCGGGAGCTAGGACCAACAGGTTTTTGATCGAGTTGGGTAAATTTGACAAAGTGGAGGTGCAAATCCAGGAAAGAGGATGGAAATTGTTTATTCGGGATAGCTCACTGGCCATTTGGAACTGGGCATGTGCAAACCCGACAAAAATTATTAGTCTAATTAACTTTCTATATGAAATTTGATATGCAGACAACACAACACCTACTGAACCGATTGAAAATTAGAACGATGAAATATTTTTCCCCTTGCCAATTTTGAAAATAAATTGCTTTATAATTTCAAATGGTTTCAGAAGAGCGTTCTTTACCGACTTAATCCTCATTCATCTAAACGATTCATTAGAACACAGATCTCGAAAGGTAATTAGGCCGATGTTATTGGCATGGTCATGCTTGACCTACAACATAGTTACCAACCGTCTCGCATCGTGCGCGGGACGGTCCCCCGCATTTCAAGTTGATTTTGGATGAAACACGCATTTTGCAAAAACACATGCGTGGTCATAAATTTTTCACGCATTTAACACAGGTATATGCGTGATAACGAATATATGGGAAAATGTATTTCAAATTATAAGAAATAGGTTTTATTAAAAAAATATAAAAAAAAGTCATGCAGTAACTTGAATAGGCCTACGTGAATACTTAATTCACTGACGCGTTACTAAAAATTGATCAGTATATCTATTCATTTTTTGTTAAAGTAATGAAATGTTTGTGCACATAGTAATTCGGGTGCTCAAATTAAACACAAAGTACATTGAAACTGTACTAAAAATATTTTTGTTTATGAACCGTACCCGCGGTATTGTCAGCAAATACTCCCCGAAATCGTTTTAAAACAGCTTAAAATGCTGAGATCGCGATCGTCGGAGCGCCAGAGGTCCTGGAAACCCACCGGGGCTCCGGCGGCCCCTCCCCCGCCCTTCTAGCCAACTGGTGTAGTCGCGCATTCAAAATCTCTCAAGTTGGTAACTATGCTGAATATGCGGTTCCTGCTTGGCACACAAGCCTAACTGAACAGCAACATAATGCAATTGAACGTATACAAAAAAGAGGTTGTAAAATCAGGTCCATGGTTATATCTTCGAATGTGTTCTGATTTTGTACAATTATTGTCTCAATTGAGCCTTTGGCTGGCATGTACAATTTTGATGTCTTTCTGAATAAATATACCTTGAATAATAATAATAATAATAATAATAATAATAATAATAATAATAATAATAATAATATTTTTTTTAAATGAAATTTCCATTTTTTTGTTCCAGGCCCTCATTTTGGGTTACTCACTCTCTATTTCACTTAGTGCGCACCATACCTAATTATTTGGCGTCCCATACTCGATTTGTTTAACTTTTTCGTTGGTGGCGCTGTCCAGAATTAGAAAAATAATTTAAAAAAATAAGAGACTTATGGCAAGTTTATGGCGGAGGGTACGCTAACTCGCCAAACAATTAAAATGTTATTATTGTTCAAAAATCACCATTATTTTTTGCTGTCGATGGGGTAGTAGCGCCACCTACACTCGGACGGATGGACAGACAGACAGGTGTGACTCTCTTCGAAGCAACGTTGTTGTATTCTTTTCGTACGAGCCAAAATAGATTATACAACAGTAATCACTCAAAATCATTATCATTTGATCATAATCAACGTCAACACCGCCGCCGTCGTGAACATCATCATCATCATTTGTAAACCTGTGGCGAATCACTACTGTATATAAGGCCTAAAAACTCCCCAAAACAATTAAAAATGAAACAACTGTTATACAAATTTTGTTTTTATTAAATTATATTCGACAAAAGACTTAAATAGGTTTTTATTCTAAAGTTTTATTATACACCTTAACATGCAAATAAATCAGCTATAATATACAGTACATACATACAATTTAAGTATAAAATGTCAAAACGTCTATTATATTTGAACTTTGATTGCACTCTACCCATCATCCAGGTGTAAAAGCTAATTTGCATAACTTCATGAAACTGGAAGGAACTGCTTGTCATGACATACTAACAAAGTTATTGAATGATATACCATTTAACTTTATTCTGGTAATTTGGATAACTTTGGTATTTTTAGAATAACATTTTGATGCAGTATTCTTAAGTTTTCTGCTTGGCCCTGAAATACATACTGAGATTTCTATGCATTACTTTAATGATTAAAAAAAAACAAAAGAAAAACAAAAAAAAAAACAAAAAAAAAAACGCAGATTTAAATATTTTAAAATAGCTGCAATAGAACTTGAAATATTTACTGTCTTGACACGAAAGCATTTGAATATACTCTGCTATCAATTCTGTATTTTATTCTAACAGGATTTGATCATTTAAGAGCACAGAAATTATTATCATAAAAACATACATTATGGTAAATTCGTACTGGAAAGGTCGGTCCTCGCTCAAATTTTATGACAAACTTTTGTGATATGCTCATATTTGGGCATGATGTCATATTACACCCAAATATGAGCATATCACAGTTGTTTGTCATATAAAATTGGTATGTGGACAAAGCCTTACATTTTTTCCAAGTACAATATAATTAAAACAACGCCCTCTAGAAAATCCCAAATTTCTACATTCAATATTTTCGAAAAATATCTATAAATGGTCCAAAAAACAGTTTGTTACTCAATTCAAATGTCTAATTTAAGAATGAATGAAAATGTATATTATTGCATTCACAATAAGCCCCGCCCCTTGAATACTGCTACTAAATGCACATGCTTGCGTATGTTTCAACCATGGAGGAACTAATTCCTCCATATGTTTCAACACTATCGTTTTGTGGCAACAATATCAATATATGGGGCGGGGCTTAGCAGAAGGGATATTAACAAAGATACTAGAAACACATGATCCACACAAAAGAAGTGTTCCACCGAAATGCATGGTGGGAATACAAACGATGGAACGCCCTTTACAGCTGGATCTAAAAAAACTTCAACCAAACTGTCGTTACCAAGTCGTCGCGTATTTTATTGTAATTCTAAATTTAAAAAATTTACACAATTGTACAATTAGTACAATTGTACCCAGACAGTGACAACGGTGAATACATAATTCCTTGGCGGAGGTAGAAATCGTTGCTATTATCCAATTAAAACACACAATTAAGCTTATGGATCAACAATATAGCGCAAAATCGTATGGTCGGACGCACTCTAGTGATAAAGTTTTCCTCCATTAGTGGAAAAAGAAGGGCGCCGTATGCGTCTGGATATACTTAGCAACAGAAGTGCGCCCTGTACGTCGGGCACAAAGTATAGAAAACTTGCATGGTTAAAAAGAAGGGCGCCGCCTACGTCGGGCACGATTTCCGCCTCATTTTTACTATTCGAGTGCTTTATCTTGTGTTTCTAGTATCTTTGATACTGTATTAACATAACATTCTGCATGTTGCACAATAACAGCAATGGACTTGCGCAGCAATTCATGTATGTATGCTATTCTGTGTAATTATAATGTATGATAACTATTTGTTCAACATTTGGTCCATCAATTACCCAGTACGCTAAAATTGGCAAATACTACTTGCTAACAATGCATGGCCATTAAAAAGAAAGGCTGTGTATGTAGAACTTAAAGGCTGTACAGTATATATAATAATTGACCCTTCCGGAATGTCAATCAAACTAAACTGACCAATATACGTGCATGTCTAACAAGCGTGTATTTACGTAAGTTTTAATACTGTTGGGACCTTAGCAACAACATCCAAAGGACGGGGCTTAGGGGAATTCCTCCATGGTATACATGATAAAGCACGATTTCCATACAATCGCTATGCACTATCACTGACAGCTTTCAGTGATGCTGATTGGTCGATCAAACCGGGGAGCACTCCCGACTGCATCGGGGACTGCCACGCAGTACAACGATTGCACTTGAAACGCTGTAGCGATTTTAAGGAAACCAGGCTTAACCAATATTGGTACAACAAATTTACTCTCTTTTAAAGACTGGCATACAAGTAACCATATATAATAAATTTTACAAATAAAGTAGTGTTAATATTCACTATATATTCACTATATATAATTCAGGGATTAATATATACTTTTTACTTTGTTTTGTAATCGATAATACTTTTAACAAACAATTTAATGACAGGTTTACTGAATATCTAAGGAGAGCGCAGGCCTTTTATTCCATTCAAAGGAGAGGAGCTGTAGCTTGTGCAGCTAATGAATGCTTTCCAATCCCTAAAGCATTGTCCACACTATTATGTGACAAAGTTGTGTGATGTGCCTATATATGGGCATGATGTGCCTATATATGGGTATGATGTGCCCATATATGGGTGTGATGTGCCTATATATGGGTATGATGTGCCTATATATGGGTATGTCATATTACAACAAAATATGGGCATATTACATTTATTTGTCACATAAAATTTGATAGTTTGTACAGAGCTTAATTTCAGAATAAATTCCTTACATTTAAAAACAAATATAAACCTTAAAAACACTACCAAGTTTGTGACAAATTTATGTAAATTATCATATATGGGCAGGATGATGTCATATCACATCCCATATATGAAGAGGATGATGTAACATCATATCATATACTGTATGGTCAAACCTTTGGATTTGTCACATACACATTGATAGTGTTAATAGCCCTTAAGCCTTTTGATGCAACTTTCAAACTCAAATGTAGAATAACTTTTAGTAAAACTTAGTTTTCTGCTGAGATATTGCAGGGTTCCCCTTCAATATCTTGGAACGTTTTATATGGATTTGCTTTCACAAACCATGTTACAACTTGTTTACTAACTGTACTACTTTCCTGTGTGAAAAGGGTATTAGTTTTTAGCCTCGCTTAAAACATTCAAAACATATTTGTTTGGTTTTATGTCTGTCCTTGCTAAGAAACAAAACTTTTGCATATGTAAAGCACTGTGATACCTTATTGTAGAGGTAAGAGTGTATTAATTAGTATTATATATCAGAACATTATACTGTATGTGGTCACAAACAGTTGAATGAAAATAAAAGGAAAACGTTTCTATGAAGGTTTAAACCACATCAGGATAGTGGTAGGGATCAAATGGAAAATCCACATTGGACAATCATGGACCCCCTTGTCAGAATCAATGACAAGTTCATCAGACTAAAATATTAGTTTGCCAAACTAAAGTTATTATGATTGCCAATGCCTAATATTGTGGTCTAAAAACACACTTTTGGGCCATCCTAAACCTTGATACCTCCCTCAATGAAAACAACCAGGGACATTATTTTAGGACCCTGACTGAGGCTCTAGAGGGTCCTTTGGTTTGGACCCCCTATGGGGCTAGTTGAAACCCCTCTTGGCAAATTTCTGGAGCCATTACTCTCGGCTGATCTATTTATAAACAAATTATTATTTACACTCAATAATTATCACTAATATCATCTTCTACAATAGCTAGAGGAGGAAGGCTTTTTGATTGTAATGAGCAATCGTATTCATCATCTAAATTGTCGTACTGTGAGATTAACGTCGACCTACTTGCCTTGAAGTCATCTCCAAACTTCGACAGATTTGATGTCTCCCATGGCACGACTGGGAAGTTCATATACAAGCTTTCTTCTGGTGAGGAGTTAGTATACAGATAACCGCGTCCCATCAAATCTCTCTGCTGGTTCTCCATCCTGGGCTTTGATGCAGCAATGTGGAAAACATCCTCTTCTGTTGGTGATGTAGGTGATGTTGCTGGTGAGGAATATGCACTCATTTTAGCCGCTACTGACTTCATTTTCGCAGAGTTCTGCTCGTAAGCTGTCATTGTTGGGCTTTTCTTTTTGAAGGAACCCAGTTTGACAGGATGCCTCACCTGCTCTGTAAAATTTGAAAACAACTTAGGAGAGGCAGCATCGCCCTTGGAATTATTGCAGCTTATGTTCAGCGAGCTGATACCTGGAGAGACTGTACCATCCATACAGCCGTTAGAGTTCCTGTAACTAAATACAGTATCAGAGGTATTTGGTGTAGGAGGTGGTGTAAATGGCATTATCGTGGCCATTTGTGGTCCAGGAAATTCTGATTTGGCAAACTCTGTTTGTACCTCTTCCACCTCATGGCTATGCCTGGAATTGATTTTTTCAAGTCTTTCTTTTAAACTTAAACCCAGAGACATTTCATCCACTTTATTACTCTGGCCATCAACCCTAGTCCGTGATTCCTCACTGTTATATCTGTGGTCCCTTTTTCTTTCTGTAGGCGAAATATTTATACCCTGTGTATTTACATTGTTTTCACATTCATTCCCAAATTCCTGCAGTACATCAAAATCTGGGGACAGTGCCTGAGAATGGTATTTTTCACGCAAGTTATCGTACTCCGATAATACAGTTTCTAAGCTGTAACGATTTTTGCGTGGGGAAGATAAAAATCCTTCAAAAGCATCTGTTTGCTGCGATACCAATGGAGAGAGTTTTCGAGGTCTCATTACAACGCCCTCATGTGTCTGTAAGTTCTCAGGCTTTGCTACCAGTTTTCTTGTATCTACAGGTGATAGTATTGGTTTCCTTTTAACTGGATGATCATTTGATTCATTTAACATTTCATGGCCTGAGTTCCTGTCCCCCGATTTCCTCTCTCTTTCTGCTCTTTTTGGTGAGACAGCATGCTTTAACTTTTGAAGTACCGAGGGGCGTCTTTGTTCCGATTCACTTTCTGCTGTCATCACCTCCTGACAAACAGAATTTTCTATATTTACACTTGAAGATATTTGGTCACTTGTGGTGTTTTGAGATAAAGACACCCTAGGTGCCGGCACAGGCCTTTGACTAGGCTTTGGTGGAGGTACTGGTCTAGTTCTTGATTTCACATCTAATGGTGTGTCTGTCATATTTTTTGGGGCAACATCAACTGACCTTGGCGGTCGTTGAGGGGAATGGATTTCCGCGGGTAAAGATTTTTGGAAATCAAGTTTGCGATCATACGATTGATCCAGAATTGGATCGGTATGAGCTCTTGTCCTTACAGTTGGTTGCATTGCCATATCTCTTGGAGTGGCAAGAGGGGTTAAAGGCGATCCTTTGTTTGAGGTATCTGGTGTGTTCACCCCTTCGTCAATCCACATAGGACTTGACATCCTGCTATCAACATCGTGCCAATGCATGGCTTCTTGTTCAGGATCATGACTGTCATCAAGAACATGTTTCTGACCAGTTGCAGTCAAAAATTCTTTTGTGGCAGCTGCAATGGCAGCTGATGTAACAGTGTCTCCATCATCAAAGTACGAGTCATTTGAGGAACAGCGTTTTAGACCAGTATCTTCAACACAGGAAATGGATGATCTCCTACGTGGCAGTCTTGCTGACTCTGCAAAAATAGAAGCCAATCACACTAAGGTTAGAAAAATGCAGCTAAAAATAATCCACCCGGCTTTAGAAAATTTACAATATATTAATGATATTAGTTTTGTGTATGCTTGATGATAATAATTATAAATCATTCCAATCTTGTACTCTTAATCATATTTTTATAAACAATTATCTCAAGACCTTTTCATAGTTTTAAACATATATCCCTATCTCTTTTTTTTATTCTTGTTCCTCTTTGAATTTTATGTCTGTACAGTTTGTTCTGATCGAATAAATGAATTGAATTGAATATGTTTCAAGTATAAAGAAAATAAGTGAAACTATGGATATCAATGTGCTAATAAGCGCAGTTGAACATCTTGTGCATTCAGTACAAGCAGTGGCATATCTAGGAGTCTTTAAATGAGAGATGACGGGGTACGAAGGTGCAGTGGGGCCCTTGATTATTAGGTGAGGGGGACCTAGCTCACAAAATAAGATATGAGGTGATTTTTAACTACTGTACTTGAGCATGTTTTGCTTTGGACAATTTTAATGAGGGAGGGGAGAACTGGGGGCCCCAAATGTTTTTAAGACAGGTGAGCAGCAGTGTGAAAATGAGTGAAGTTAGCTAACACTGTGAGAATGGATAAAGTTAGCTATAGTGCGAGTTTTAGTGAAGTTGGCACACACTGTAACGTTAACACAAATTTAGCCAATGATGAGAATGGGTGCTGCAAATTTTGTGATATTGGGTGAGTTATAGTGAGAATGGGTCTACTTGTTCAACAATTTGCAGATCAAAACTACAACTATAAATTACCTGGATGTTTTGAACGGTCAAAGGACACTGTAATAGTTTTAGCATCCATCATCGTTAGACTCTCTACACTACGAACAGACCGCAGACTGCCTTGTTTTCCCTTCATCACATAGGATGTCCTTTCTTCCAAATTCTCTGCCGGTGACTTTTGTTTACCGTCCTTTTGCTTGAAGCTAAAAAAATCTCTCCAAGTTCCCGATTTTTTGGATTTGCTTCCTGAAGGTCGTCGACCCCTATGTATAGGAAAGTAACTTTGAAATTTGAACCTTAATCTTGCATCTGTATTACATTGTATTATAAAAAAACAGCTCTTCATAAAATTTATCAGTCTCATAGTAAATAACAATTAATGTATTTACTAAAACAATATAATACTGTACTGATTATTATTATAGTGCATTGGTATGGCATACAGTTTCAATGTTGGTTAAAGTTTTGGTTTTAGTAATGTAAATCTTATTAAGAACTGAAAATTAAACCATCTCAAAAACATTGCATACCATTTAAGAAGCACTTGGTGCAAAAATCTGGTTGCTCAATTCATAACCATTATGATTTTAAAAATGGACAATTTTTAACTAATTTTAAAAATGAATATTATCAAATTTTGGAGGGGTTTTCCACAATATAAAATTTTATTTGACAAAAACATGTGACATGAATTAATATGGTCATGATGACATCACAACATAACATTATATAGTCACGTTAGGACTATATTGGGCATACAACAGTTTTTGTGTCAATGAAAATTTGATATTCTGGACAGCTTAACATACATCAAACAACTTGACTTCAACCTTTCCGTGCTTGGATGTCATTTATTTGTGAATTAATATACTTCAAATATATCTACTCCTTGATTTTAACAAGGAAGTGACTCTATAAATATTTAAATTTCGTGACTTACTTTTGTTTAAATATGTATAATATATTATTTTAGTTTTTTATAAAAACATCATAAATTTAGACAAATATTCAACTATATTACCAGGTTAATGGTAAATGACACTTTTATTCAATATAAACAAAACTTGCACAAAAATGTTAGCATTTTCTTTTCATATTGCATTCAAATATAAATAGCTTTGTTTCTATTTTCAATTATTTGAAGGCTTTATATTGTTTTTAAGTTGCTTATACTGTACTAATCTTTATTTGCACAGTTTTATAAATAAAACATACTGAATACACAAGATGTTAAGACATAACACAAAACAGACACAAAAACAATACAGACAAAAAGACATTGCTAAAGTGGTGTTATAAAGCTAACAATCATAATATTGATTTCTATTGTAATTTTATACAGCATGAGATGTAGAGAATAAATACAAAGTATGATATGAAACTATACAGTGACGGATTCAAGAGGAAACCCAACTGGCCCAGTATGGTCTGCCGACCCCCCCCCCCCCCCACCTCTAAATTTTTTTCAATTGTACAAAAAATGGGGAAAAAAAGAATACTATTTCGAAATTTAGGTCTAATAGTGCCACTTCCAGCCATCTACAGGTGATATAATCATAAATTTTCTTGACTCAGCTCCACCATGGTTGGGTCTGAGGTGGTTTAACCCTCTCCATTTGTGAAAGCCCCTCCATTTCAGATTCCAGGATCCGTTACTGCAAATCTTGCAATAAAGTTGTTGCATATACTACAATTATTAGTGAGTTAATGCCACAGACAGCAAATATATATATACTTATGGGAAAGCAGCAGTACAACAGATATACAGAAATATTAGAGTGTTTGCATACTTTATATATATACATTTTTTTACCATATTTATGTGCTATACAAGTTTTTTTTTTATTTTCAAGAGAGTATACTACAGACTGTGAAGCAACACACAACCACATTTATATAATATGCCAGCTAACTGATATAAAGCACTGCTTGATGGGAACTTAGCACACATAAACAGATTGTACATATGAATGTATATGAAGCATACCATCCCAAAACCAGCATACTGTCACTAATAATAAGCTGAGTATATCAGCATAAAAATGTGGCAGCTTCTATGCTTAAGTACAGAGAGCAGTCAGTAATACTTTTATTTACTCATAACTTTGGCAATAGTGAATCAATGCCAGTAAATGACCCATCATTTTAAAGCTTATAATGTGGAGAAAATGAATATATTTAAAAGTCAATTTCATTTATTGAGTAACTGATGCTGGTTTTGGGATGGCAAGCCTCATGGTACATGCAGAAGTGGAAAAGCAATTTACAGAGGAGTACAAGACACATATTGTATATATATATATATATACACAAAACAGTGGGATGAAAAAGTAAACAAACTAAATAATTTGCAAGAGAACGGTACACATGTTAATATGAAATCTACAGCTTTTACCTATTATTAAAAATGTGCAATTTTTTACAATAACACACAGGCAAAGCATGCATATGAGGTATTCAACAGGTATAAATCTATCAAGGTTTGAATTTTCATTTCAGTGGCATATCTTCTAGGGTGTGCACACACCCCCTTGATCAAAACATATGTGAATTTCCCCTCCACGGTCACCTTCGCGTTTTCCCCCCTCCCACCCCATTACAATACTCCTACATACGCCAGTGCTTCATTTTTATCATCTTTATCAGCCAACATCACTGTCATCATCAACAACAACTCAATGTCATCAATATCATCAATAATTATTTTTATCACATCATTCTCATCATAATCATTAGTTCTAATATGTGATTGGTTAGACTAACAATGCATAGACTCTCATCTATATCCAGACACACTCCCTAACAATTAAAAGTTGCTGAATCACAGATCTAGGATGTAAACAATAGTGACTGCCGCTATGAAAAAACAATAATAGCATTTTTAGAAATGTGTGGGGCATGTAATCTTACGGGACATCAATGACTGTATGAAATTCCTGTAGGGCGCTAGGTCCGCCGCCAACCTCGATGTATTTTTTCTCTTTTTCTGGTTCCACATTCTGACAGCGAGCTTGTGCTTCTTCCAGTGATAACAGCTTGGTCGGGACACCGACAATAACAGACTTGGGTCGTTGCATCTGTTGCTTAGCAACAGCAAGACCTAAAAGATTGGATGATTTTCTTTGTTTTAATATTACATGACAGGCACTTCAGGTGGTTTCAGCAAGCTTATTCTGGTTATGTATATGAGCAAAGATGAAATCTTTTCTGCACTTTTATGACTTGAATAGTCCAAATAATTTGAATTTACTGGACAACTCAGGATGAATAAATCAAAAAAAATAAATAAAGAAAGAAAAAGAATTCTACCCTGGTGTTCACAATATAACAGATTGTGCCTGTTGAGTATGCAATCATAATAAATAGCTGCCAATTTTCCTTGGCATCCATAAAAAAACTATATTCATTAAAGCTCACAAGAGAGTAAACAGCTTCATAAACTGGTATTTGCAGCCCTTATAGCCCTTTACGAAGCACATCCCATGTGTGAGGGGTTTCAACAGCTTCGCAAAGGTTGTTCACCGGTTGTTTGGAAAAAATCAACTTCACAAACTGTTAATTTTACATAATTGTGAAAACTGTTATCTCTATTGTACAGAGATAGTCATGAATTTGTGTTACATTGTAGCCTCACCCGGTACGTCAGGGAAGAGTTTATTATTAAAGATAAGATCCATGTTACGAATTAAGTACTCGACAACGACAGCCTGCACACGAATTTCCATGAATGCTGCTGCTCCGGATTCAATTTCTCTTGACCTAGGGAAGGAAAGACAAAATTGTATCAGTTTTTAAATACATTTCTTCCTGTGTGCTCGCTATGACAAAGTTATAAGTACAGTAGTTTCGTGCAGCAGGAAGGGTTTGTTTTCCCAGCCTTCAGGTCGTGGTTTCCATACCTCGCTGTGCATTTCGCTTGTGTCCCTGAGCAAGGTACTGCATTGTTCCTCCTCCACCCATGTGTATAAGTGAGTACCTGGTAGGGTTGAATGCCAAATGTGGTGATTGGAATGCAATATTATGGAATACTCCCTAGGAAGCTGAGTTTGTGTTGAATCCAGTGACTGGGTAAAGTGAAGTGCATAAAGCCAATAGCATTATGCGATATAAAGGTCCACAATTTATTATTGTTGTTATTATTATTATTATTATTATTGTTCTTCATTTGCCACAAGTTTTTAAAGAGCGCCATCTAGAAGAATTATTCTTCTGAGTCAAAGATCTTATAATTACAAGATAGCGTTCTGCATGCAAATTCTGTAACAACGCAGTGTAGGATGCCCTCCCGCAATTACAATTACTTTTGAACTTTGACATTAATGATCTACGTGCAAATTCTTGAACAATCACCATGGCAACAACCAGGACGCCTTCTCTCAATTACAATTACTTTTTAAGCTTCTTTTTACTGAACATACGCTTCTATTTGTTACATGTACAATCGCAGACAACACTATCTTGTAATTATAAGATCTTTGTTCTGAGTGAACAAAACACACACCTAAGTAAATTTGGAGCCCACACTATTGCCAGGTTTTTTGTGTTCATGCCTGTTCGGTCCTCCTTTTCAGCCATCTTTGCTAGATGTTTAATAAGATATTCTAAGGTACGATAATGTGGTGGTGGAAGTTGCTGGACGGTGTCATGAATATGCATGAGGCGATTCTCTTCATCAGCTACTGCAATCTGAAATTATATTATGTTTCAGCATTAAAACATGAATATTCTTTAGTCTAGTAGAGACTATATGAATATTCAAGTTTTAATGCTGAAACATGAATAGTCTTCATTAGTCTAGTAGAGATAGAAACAATGAAAAGTGACAACGCATCAACACAGCTGGAAATGACTGCACAGGAAATGGTGTGTTGCGAGAGAAATCATCAAATCATTATACATTAAATAAAAATAGAATGGGTTAACATCAACAACCAAATACACTTTTTTAAACATACTTTGGGTTTCAAGTCTGTACAATGCTCAAACTTACCGCAAAGCGATCGTAAAGTTGATAAGTAAGTAATGGGTTTGGCAATTCCCTAAAGTACAATTTACAAACAGCTGTTACACAGTGAATATCCTTGCAAAACTCATTTAGATTTGGAGTCTGCTCGCTGTCAAAGTCATCTCGTAACCGATGTATGTTCGAGGCGACTCCAGACAGACGGTAGATGCCATCCACAATGCCATACTCCTCAATGAACTCAGTGCACGCTTTCACCATTTCTGGAACTAAAACAGAACAATTTCTTGAACTTTTATAAATTTTATTAATACTTTTGTACACATAATTCAGACATGAAAGACTAACGGTCTGTGACTAATTAGGGTTGACCAAATACAAGTACTAGTGAACTAGTATTTTGATAGGAGTTTAACAAAATCTTACACTGAGTGCTATGAAATAATGCATGCATGATTCACCTTTACAACCAATAAAGAATATAAAATTGGAATAGGACTCCCAATTATATCTGTGTGCAGCTCAAATTTAATTCTCTGAAAAGAGGTACTGCACTGTACTGTTTTATTTCAGCAAGGTTTGGTTGACTTCTTACCTAAAACTAGTGAATTTTCTAGAGGTACAACTACCACAATAGAAGCAATACTTCCATTCAATGGTAAAGTATGTGCTATCATTTATTTCATAATCATGGAAGATAAATGAACAACTGAGGTTCTGTACACACTATCAAATTTTGTGTGACAATTAAAATGTGATATGCCCATATTTGGGTACAATATGACATATCATGCCCATATATGGGCACATCGCACAAACTTGTCACTATCAAATTTTATATGACAAATAAACTGTGATATGTCCGTTTTGGGTACAATATGACATATCATGTCCATATATGGGCACATCACGCAAACTTGTCACTATCAAATTTTATATGACAAATAAAATATGATATGCCCATATTTGTATATATGACATCTCATGTCCATATATGGGCACATCACACAAACTTGTCACATTAAATTTGATAGGGTGGACATATTGTAGAACCTACCATCTTGAGCCGTATTTAGAAGATGCTCCCCTAGGTCACACCCAAATACTCGCTCTCTGAGAATCCCACGCTGCTTTAGACCACCTTTCGTAGGTCGTTGAACCAAAAAAGATCTGAGGAATGTTATTAGTTTTCCATGTCGTCGCAATACTACAAGAAACAAATAATCGTCATCATACAGCAAAATTATAATGTAATGTTGCCTATACACAACACATACAGACGGTTCATCATGACAAGACAAGATACAAAAAATCGTCATCAAGATTAGGGAGAATATGAAACAAATCAATTGACACAGAATAATAATAATAATAAAATTATAATTCAGAAGACCTCGTGTCCCTATCTTCACTTGCTGTGTTGATGAGATTCCCTCAAATGATCTGGATCTATTTCGTTTACTTGGTTCTACCTTACTTCCTCTGAGCTTACTCTTCTGACTACATTTTACCATACTTATCTTCTCTGTACTCTCTCTGGTATTAGTCTTCCAATCCTCAAACCACAACTTCATTTGAGTGCATATCTCGATAGCAATATCCAATGAACATTTTCTTTTAAGATTGCATGGAAACAGTAAGCCTAACAATCACTGCTACTTTGAGTCATTAAAGGTTGAAGGATTAAACAAATGAAAAATAAAATATAAACAAAACAAGCCTTTCACTAATACGAAATAAAAAAAACTTATCCAAGACCAACTGACAGGGTAGAGTAACAGCACCAGTTAAAGAGAGAACGCTCTATCCTCTATCCACAACCAACGGAAAAAATGAAAATAAATTCTCACTATAAAATTATAATCATATTGGATACTGTTATGGATCATTGGTATTAGAATGTAGTTTCCAAATTGAATTACTGATCCTTTTGTTTTGTATTTAGAATGGAATAATAGAAGACAACTATCTGACACACATTAAAAATAGAAAATAAATTTTGTATCCAGTTTGCCAGCTGGTGGTAATAAAAAGACTGTATATCATTATATTCACAATGACATAAGAAATATATAATAGCAATTCATCAATGGACTGACAAGAACAAATAAAACAATACTGAATATAACAAACCCACATAAATTGGAGAGTAATATAACTGAAATACAAGTGAAGAATAATAAATATTACTATGCACATGTAAGCTTTTTGCATTACAGTATATGACATAAATTTGACATTAAATTGGCTCTTGTAGCAAATTCAAGAAGAATATTCTTAGGGTGCATTCGGGCTAGTTTTTTGTGGAGTCTAACACCGTATAAATCCGGTAACGTCCATTTCCAGTTCTCGCCCGAACGGGTATTAAACCGTTTGCTGATATCCGCTGATAATCCAAACGCTGCAAATTGCAGTGTTTTCTAGGAGCAAATGCAGCATGCTTAAGCAGCAGGGAGCATTATTTATCACTTAATCCCTTTTTGATTGCTCTTTAAATTTTCATGGTCCCTGCTTCTTTTACAGTTTAATTCCCAAAAACAAAATTGAAAAGCTCGAATAAATTATTTCAGCGGAGGGCTAGCCTAGAATCCAGATTGTTACCTTACTACATACGTCTGCTGCATGCACGCGTGATCGTGGCACCACTGCTTATCCGTTTGACAATGGTAGTAATTTGCTGTTTTAAACTACTGTACCATTGCCAAACGAATGATAGTTTATTCTGGTTTATACGCCCAAAATACAATCTGCGATTTATTGGGAGTTTCCTATGTAGGTCATTTCATTACTTGCTTTTGAGAAAACATTATGCAGTGTACCAATGCCAATGTCCATTTCTTAATTAAAATGTGGGGTGACGCAACGGTCCAGGGAAACTTGATAAAACTCATCATTTGCATAATACCTTAGGTCTTACGTCTGAGGTTAATGGTTTTTTGAAAGCCGAATTCTGCACGAACCGGTAGACCACCCACGGATACAATACAATACTGGTAAGAACCCTATGTAAATTTTTTCCGTTCTCACCCAAATACACCCTTATATACATACCTACATAGAAAGGGATTCATATTGACCATTAATGTTTAATGATAAAAGGGGTGTAGGCTATAGCCTGTGGGGTGCTAAATGGCCTGGGGGGTGCTAAATGTGTTGGGGGGGGGGGGGGGAATAAAAATCTAGAATGCGGAAATCCTTATTCCTAACTTATTGGTCATTTTTAGTATTTAACACACTTACAGTGGAATTAATGTGCCACCATGGACTGGGGATGCGCCCACACCCCCTGCACCCCACCCAGCTTACGTTCATGATGATAGTAACAATTACAATGACAATGACGATGATCATGTTGGTGGTTGTTGTGGCAATGAGATTATAATTATGATTCTGAAGATTTTTTTTCTTTTGCTGATGTTAAGATAATACTGGTTGTGATGATGATTGCTGCTGATGATAATGATAATGATAAGATGATGAAGACAATGATGATTATTTATCGACTTGTTTATTTCACTCAAAAAAATAATTTAATACAGTATTCTGAAAATAATATTAACTTCATACTAATTAGTCTATGAAAAAACAATTCAAAAAAATTTAAAATAAATTTACAATCTTTAAAAGAAGATAGAAATGCACATAATACAAAATTCAGTTAACAAACAGAAATAATGATGTAACACACATAAATGCATAATGTCACAACACAAATGAATTACATACAAAGTTGCATTATAAATACACATAAAATTATGTGTCATACACATTCCAATGCATGATGTAATACACATAAATGCATGATGCATGATGCAAATACACACCAATTCTGATGCAATTTAGTTAACTACCTTGGTTTCCTGGAAGAAGCACATCAAAAGCAGAAGAAAAATTCAAAACGTTCACGAAGCGAATCATTTATAAATCAATAAATACAATACTGACTCGGGCATAAAATCCACCCCAATGTCAATGCTAAAATGCGATATCATCATGACTATATATGGGCGAATCATACAATTTCATTATAGAAAATATTGTGTGGATAGACCATTACAGTACCGGAGAAAACCAATAAAAATATTAAGCTGCATACAAGATGATTTTGTAATTGAGATTTAGATGGGCTTATACCCGAGAAGATTTGTGTTAACTGTATACATAACATGGCTTATACTCGAGTCAATATTTTACATGAATAAAAACAAATAATAAACAAAGTTGATCAGAAAAAAAATAAATGCTTCAAAATACTACATGTTCAACACTCTTGAAAACGCTGAAGAGAAAGTAAAATTGGTGATAATGGTAACATCAGGTGAGAACGGAAACAAGTAAGACAAACGGGGAATGGAAACACTGACAAGATAAAGCACAGACACTCAGGTAGTGGAGAGGTGAGCCAACAAGAGTACTCACCACAAGGACCTAATATAGAGATACACTGATATTTCCTTTTACTGCCAATAAGAAGCAGAAAATAGTGCTAATGAAGACGGCATGATAAGTACTACTGGAGGCCTACTACCAAACAATATTAGTAGGCCTATTCTTCCATTAATTACAGAAACTGCAAATTCTAGACATCATCAATCATCTTTTTATGAATTTTAAGAGTGAAAGATCGATTTAATTTCTTTAATTTTAATTTTTGTAATGGACAATAAAAAAGCAATGGCTCTCAAGGAGAATGATAGGTGGTAAATTAAGTGTAGTTCATTTCGTTCAGCAAATAATCAGAGGAACCCCTGTGTATAGGCTATAGTGTACTAAAAGTAAAGTATCTTATGAATTCCTTAAGCAATAATTAAGATTTGTAGAATTAGTGGTAACTGATAAAGACTAGGAAACAAGTTTCTATATACTAAAATTTCTATTGAAACATTTGTTCAACACATGTATCTATTGTAAATTCACCCCCTTAAGCAGCTGTATCTGGTGGTATTAATTGGCAGAATCAGAAGAGGCCATTGAGGAATGCTGTGCCCAATATTTGACTGTTAAGATGGCATTAGTAAACATGAATTTATTTTTGAGTCAACATACATCCTTTTTGTGCAATGAAAATGCAACCATCCCAAGCTATACATACTGTGATTGGCTGAGATGCAGTACAAAACCGCATTTACATTGTGTAAAGTTCTCTCCACATTATCAGGTTTTATGTAACAAATACCTGGGTTTTGCATATCCATAGACAAGTCACAGATATACCTTGCATAAAATTTGATAGTGTAAACAGAGCTTGAGTGTGTGAATGCCACTCTTAAGGCCTGTCCTCATTATCAAATTTTAATTAACGAAAACATGTAACATGCCTAAATATGGTCACGATGACATCACATCATGACCATATATAGACACATCATGACCAAATATGGGCATACAACAGTTTTTTTGTCAATTAAAATTTGATAGTATGGACAAAGCCTAATGCAATGGCTGAATCTGGACACAAAACAACACACTGAACACATTGCACACATGTATCTTGTGTTTACCATAATACCATACCATTTTCATCCTACATTACAACCAAAGTCCATGAAGGCAATGGTGGGGGTTGAGCAATAATAGAGGACTACTAACCTGGTTTAGGGGTCTTGGGAATTTTTGATGCAACGGCTGGTGGTACAATGTCTCCTATTAACTCTACACACTGACTGGGAAAAAAGCCTACTTCAAAACCTCGTTTTCCATGCCACCAGAGGGAGTCTTCTGATGGTGGCATATCAATCACAGATACAATGTCGCCAACCTAAAACAAGATAGAAAAATATTAATCTTATTGTCTATTAAATAACCACTATAATTTACACATTTAAAAAAATGTTTTAATATTTATTATGAAGTTTGTATATTGCGAAATGTTTCCAATGTGTTGATGCCAGTCTTTCTAATCATAATAATGATGACATTGGTATTTATATTTGCTTGGATACTTGTTTAAAATTGACCTACTTTCCTTAGGGTGGGACCTCATACTTTCATATCATAATAATGATGATGAGATTATAACAATGACTATGTTGTAGATGGTAACAATGATGATGACTATGATAATGATAATAATTTAATGATAATAATATTGATGATAAGATATAATGATGAACATAATGTGATATTAATACATATGATAATGATGTTATATCAATTAAAATGATGGTGATGATGATGATGATGATGATGATAAAAATTATGATGATGATGATATACTATTGAGAGCACACCAACCTGTAATGTAATCTCATCGGGTGCTTGTGCAATGTATCGCTTGATGACGTGAGCGGCAGCAACAGCGGGTATATTAATCGCAGAATCATCGCCAACAACTAATCGATTGCCATGGTTGTCAATCTGAATATACAAGTGCAAACATGAGTTATCATACATGAATATTTGATAACAGTAATAAAAAAAATAATCCAATTTATTAAAAGAAAAAAAAAATCATACAAGAAAACAACTTGCATGACTTTCTCTAATAATAATATGTGCTATTTATATCTGGAGAAGAAGCCCTCTTCAGTTTGCAAAAGTAATCTCGAAAAGAAGCCCATCCTGAAAGGAAGTCCATGGGCTTCCAATCAAGATAATATGGATTTATTTTGAAATTTTCGAAAAGAAGCCCACCTTGAAAAGAGGCCATTCTTAAAAAAAAAATCAAAAATCCAAGGGTCCTAAAAAACAGTAGCCCAGGGCTTCTATTCAAGGTTTTACGGTATTGCAATGAACATCTGCTCTGCACTTTACCTTAGCTCTGGTCACACTATCTCATTTCATTATAAATTTTAATAGAATTTAATAACTTGATTTTTTAGCATGTCAGTAAGTTTTTTTCAGCAGTAGGAAACTACAGTAGTATATAGCAACTAGCTACTTTTCTCTATACTTTTTTTACTATAGCTACAGTATTTTTGTAGTTTTAGGATGCTATACATGTTTGTAATGTATTTGTAATCTTTCAGTCTATACAGCATTTTTATTAGAATGACTATATACTAGGCAGAGGCTACTATTATACATGTTTAAAACAAATTCCAGATTCTGATTGGGTGTTATTATCTTACTACAATCCATCAAGCAGATTTTGTTTAAGACTGATATAAGAATAGTCACTGCCTAAATTTAAGATGAAAAACATTTAAACTATGGATATTTTGGTAAAGTTAAAATTATAGGACACGACACTATAGCTTACTGTGGCATTTTTCCGATGCAATAGTATATTTTTAAATAATTAGTTTAAGCATTTTTTCATTGTCTATATCAGAGCATCTGCATTTTAAACATTCTGAGGATTCCACTGGCATGTGAAAGAATGTGATAGGTGAGCTATACTCAAATCAGTGTGCAACTCTCAGATAGTCAGAATACACCATACAATGTGAACATAAACAAACAGCAACACATCATTTATTATTTAAATGGAACTTGTGATACAGTATGCAGTGATAAATATTCAATGCAATGTTTCATAGCACAAGTATATTAGATTATACCACACACACACATTGGCTCCACTAACAGTGGCGGCGGCGCGGGAGGGGGAGGGAGAGTGGGTCAAGTCCGTCGTCGGACAGAGTTCTTTGGACAGAGCTCATCAGGCAGTCAGACCTTAAAAAAAAAATTAAAATAAGCCCATACCAAGCCAACATATGTCTGTTACATTCTGAGAGTGCCATTTCTGGTCATCCAGAGGTTGCAATTCTTTAAAAATCTCATTTGGGAGGGGGAACCCCTCTCAAACCCTTCCTTCAGCTCGGGCCTACAAGCTCAAGTCCCCTGTCGGACAGCTTAGCTCCCCACCACCCACCAGAAAATATATCCTAGAGCTGCCACTGTCCAATACCTCCTACTCCAGTTTGCCTAAACTAGCTACACCAGTGGAAACATAAGGAAGAAGGGTCTCAGTCTCTTGCATAATAAGCGTTTTCACTACAGTATTATTACTTGCCTCCCTGAACACAGATAACAATGTGTTTTATCACAAGTAGCAAAATAAAATTAAATGTGTTAAGAAACCTCATTTAACCTGATTGCCTCGATTTGGGTTCCCTTTACTGCCAACTGAGCTTAGAGGAAAGTTGATATACTCCCTTTAATTTTTCCAATTCGAACATGTTTTTTCAAGGTAATGCATTAATAATAAATTAGTTGATGACTTGCATGTCAAAATGGTAAAAAATATACCTTAAACCAATGAGGTAGGCCTACATATATATGTTTTATCACATTCACATAACAGTGATAAAAGGATTCCATACCAAGTGACATTTCATAAAGGAATATTATACAGATCTCCCTCCAATTAAAGACCACTTTTGGGACTGCAGTTTTTATGGTCTTTAGTAGCTTTGGTCTTTAATTAGTAAAATTATTCTTATAAAAATAATAGATAGACATTCATTTGAGGGTGCAGAATGATGGTCTTTAATTAGAGGTAGACATGTATTCATCAAACACACAGGTTATCAACTACTAAACACACTTTTACTAAGTATCATTAAAAAAACTATGTTAAAATAACCACAACTTTTTAATAAGATTTGCAGACGTGAAAAGAAAAACTTGTGCTTTACAGTGTAGAAATACGTTTGCAGATCAGAAGTATTAAAAGGTGAATGGATTTGAATGTGACAGGGAGAAAGACACTGGAGTGAAGAGCAGCAATATCATATCATAATATGCTAATAACTTAAGTACACATGCTTACAATGAAACTATGATCTCCTTTCGGGCTCATCTAAAAATTAAACCAAGAAACAGAACATATAGATGAAGACACACATTATTCTATAGTTTAGTCTATAGTTATTATTTTTCATCCAAAGCTGCTTGTAAATATATACTATAATAAGGAATAATTCAGATTTTATGGGAGGGTGGAGGGTAGAGAGAAGAGGAGGAAAATGGAGAAGACTTTGGGACAGGGAGGGCATAGAGATAAAGATTGAACATGAAGTAGGGGTGAAACCATTATCATATTGAAAAAAAAACTAAAATACAAATGTACTGAGGTATGCAGAATGCTATTATAACATAATATAAATAATAATAAAATGTAAAAAAAATATGGTTTAATAAATGAATTAAAGATTATAAGGATGATCACCCATGTAAACTCACCTCCATCCAATTTAGCACTGGTCCACAGTTGATACGGTCACCCGCTATTTCAGAAAATCTGTTCAGATAATGTGACAACATCGCTTTCACAGCCTTTGGGAAAATATCAAGGTAAGGATTTCATTTAATTCTCATATAAGCTGGCATGTAAGATAAATGCATGTAATAAAAAGAACATTTAAATTGTATATCATTTTAGGTAACATCTGCTCTTTCATGAATTTTTTCACAGTTTTGAGTATTACATAATGTGAAATTTACAATATACCTTAATCACATTAATGTTTAGTGGATATTGTGTGATGGAAATAACATTCATTGCATACATTCATTACATTATATTTTGACATAAGTGGCTCAGAATTGTTGGCAGTAAACCAAAATAATGTAGGTGTCACTGTTCATTTCCTTCTTGAACCATGCACAAACACACATTAAATTTTTATTACATTGGTAGATAATCCCTAATTCTCTTTTGGAAAAAAGGGGAAACATTACGCACATGGGACCAATAGGGTTGCATTCCAACTGAATGAGGAGGTAAATTAGAATAGAGTATCTTAACTAGAATCTCAAGATAAAGGGTGACACTCAGAGGTCAAACATGAACTCTAAAATGCCATCTCATACCATTGCAACACTAAAACACACTCAGTTGCAATTTGTTACTTGGTATTTATATAAGCGCTTTCCTTTAGGTTACAAAGAGCTTTTTTTCACCTGGTATTTGGGTCCACATGCATAAGTGTTACTGCTATATATGGGCAAGTAGGCAATCCCACTAGGTACCCATTTATACTCCCGGGTGGAGAGAAGCAGCGCAGATAAAGTGCCTTGCAAAAAACACAAACTCCGACCTTTAGGTTGAGAAAATAATATGCAATATACGTTGAAAGATGTATTTTCCCCGAAAAGAGACCAAAAAAATCATTAAATCTATTTGGAAATTTAATTTTCACTTCATATTTCTCAATAACAGCCCTCCTACACCTTGTTTTTTATATTGTGTTTTTTTTAGTCAATCTTTTTTATGGAAGGATTGGAACCTGAATTTCATGTGAACCAATGCACAATGACAATAAATCGATCTTGTATTTCCAGGGCAGTACAGTTTGTACACAATAGACCACTAAAAGATGATTCAGAATGTGAATTTTCTATTAATGAATTGGTCAACAATGTAATTTACTAATGCATGCAAAATGTGAGATGTTGAATATATGTAACTTGTGTGTTGTACATATAAAAAAAATCCATGTTAATATTATTGTAATTTAGAATATTACATAATTCTTACATCTCTGTCCTCAGACAGCGCCCTCCCCTTCGGCAACTCCGCTAATTGACTAAACCTCCGGTCATAAATACATCGATGGATCTGTTTGTCTAGAACACGGAAGTCTTCGTAGCATCGTTTCACCAACCACATCTTGTGGATAGAGCTCACTTGCACTGTGTATGGTACATCAAGGTGTGCAGCGCCCCCATTCTGCTGTACAGCTGACGTCTCGTCATAGCTGGAATTGTCATCGAGAATTGCAAGCTTAAAAATAAATAGTTAATATATTAAATGATTGATATTATCAATACAGTTAGAATAATAATTTTGTGAACAATTAATACAATACCATAATACAGAGTATAGCAAAGGTCTCCCTCTATTAAAGACCCCTCCAATTAAAGACCACTTTTCTGTGGTCCCATTTTAACAAAAGTCTTTTATTTTTTATTATTATTCTAATTAGAGACCAAATCTGCTAAACACCATGGAAAACCCGGTCCAAAAAGTGTTTTTTAATTGGGGGGAGACCTATATATCAATTTCAAAAAAAAAAAAATTAATAAATATGAGGAACGACATAATTTCTTGTCTTAACTAATGAATACATATACTGAAGTTTTAAAATACTCAGTTTGCAGTACTGTGTTAACTCCTAAATGCACGGGATGTTAAACTTACAAAAACATATATAAAATCTACATGGAGGTATATCAGACAAATTTATGTTAAATACTTCTCGCAATTTTTAACTGCCAGTTAATTTTTTTTTTAAAGAAATTTAGAATATAAAAAAAATCCACCCTTTTCCACCTTGTTTTTCATTGTTTTGAATTTGTCGTATTTTATGCAACTTTCTAAATTAATCTGGAAAACAATAAACACACAATGCTATTGCATTTAGCGTGCTCGTCCAAAATATAGAAAGTATGAGCAACAAAATAAAAAATATTTTGATGGACAACTATACATTTACCTTTCTTAAATTTGCTCTATTAAAGAAAAACTCCTCTCTTCAATGGACGCTAGGCCACAATTAAAAATTAATCATTTTAAATTTTTGTATGTTTTACAAAATCAATTTCATATATCACAAAGTATTATCATCATATTATTGCACTGGCAGAGTGTAAAATGTTTTTGACTGATCATTATGCTAATTGATCAAAATCAATGATTCACTCAAAGCCTCCGAGGGTCTAGTGTCATAGACTTCTCAGCATTAGCCAGGGCAATTACTTGCCAACTATTTAACATAAATTTGTCTGATATATTTCCACACGTTATGGAGATCTACATCCGAATCGTTTTATTAATTAAAAACATTTGATATTTTTTGTATAACAGTCCTGCCGCAGACAAAATCAAAATATCATTGACAGTTATGGGACAACATGCAGAATCATATTAATTAAAATTACTATAGTAGTGTACAGTATCTATGAGGGCATTCCTCCATCCCCGCAAAAAACTCTTACACTTCAGGTGTCCATACCCATTCCCACAATCTCAAACTAGGAATTAGCTGAGCAAAAATATCTATATATATTTACAAATATTCCTATAGTATAGCAGACAAAAAAAGAGGCTGTAGGGCACGATAGGCAGAGGGATTAACAATACATTAAAGAGAGGCCATGACTGAAATAAATTCTAAAGCCTTTAATTAACTCTAAAATTATCTTATCTAAAACATACAATTTTGACATTAAACTATAAACTTATATTCTTTACATTTCTATTTGATGTACAGTATCACCCAGCCTAATATCACCTGCAATTACTGAAGTACATTTTTTAGAGGGACATAGGTGTATTTCCATCATCAAGTTAATAATAAATTTGATTTAATAATGGATTGGTAAAGTCTTTCTATATTTTTCCAGGCTTGGAAGAGGTAGCCTACAGGTATTCACCAAATATGTCCATGACCCTTTCTGGTTTTCCATGACAGCCGGAAATAGTATTTTATAAACAGGTACAGTGTTATACATCTACAGTACTTCATTGCTTTTAATTACAGTAGTTCCTAGGATTATACTGTAAGTCCACCCACATTGTTTATACGAATCCTCATTCAAGATATAATCAACAACTGAATGACATCAGCTAAAGCCAAGTAAAAAAAAATTACTAGTTTCTTGTCCCTCGCGCGTCAATTTTCTCTCCCTCACCGATTTTTTTTTTTTTTTTAATTTCCTTAATTTTACAAATGTATTATCTGGCTAAAATCAGTACATAAAATTCCTTTATCCATCGTTCGTGTTTTGGGATACATAATGGTGAATCATGTCTAGTGCTTCTTTTATTTGCTTTCAATGTGTTTACTTGGTAAAAATGAGAAAGTAGTAGAGCTGTTTCCCATCGACAATCTTGGACTTGCCATCTCTGAGTAAAAAATAAAGTTCCCTCATTCTTTTTTATTTTAATATCAAGATGAGAAACTACTTTTTTTTTTACTTGGCCTAACATCCTGCCCACATGATGCATGATGTAATGCATGTTGTACGTAATACCAGATAGCGTGTATCTGTACATTGTCAAATTCTGTAGTCATTCGGACCAAGCCTGGAGAAAAAATTGTCTGTGTCTCCAACGATGATGACTATCTAAATTATAAAATGGATTTAGCACAAAATGCTAACTATACATTCTTACTCACCATAGAGTAGTGGGGAAAAAAATAAGTTTTCAATTAGAATATATTGCCTTTTTCATACTGGCCTAAGGAAAGGCAAACAAAATTATGTTCCCTCTCTTCAAAACTACCTCCAAGAAAATGTTGCCTTTTACCTACTGGTCTAGGACAAAAAAAAAATGTTCCACCTCTTGCAAAAATGCATCAAGGGAAATGTTGCCACGACCACCGGCCATATGGTCACATAATTTGAGACTCTATAATGCATACTTTAATTTTTATATACTTTCCAGTTACAATTTAGTGACTGATGATATTTTGCAAAAATGTTCTTCAATATATCTTCTGTTATTAAAGCAAAAACCTGTAGATTTTCAAAATTCTGATTCTGATATAATATAATAATAAACAATTTAGCATGTATAGAAAACTGATGCATGTTTACTGTATAATGTACACATAGGCGAATGCTATGTAATAGCACCTAATTGAATATTTTCCAAGGTCGTTGGACATTAAATTACAGATCAACTAGATTATGAAATTTCCTACATAATCATATTAAAACTGTAATTGAACATATGACAACTAGTGCACTAAACCAGAAGCCTATGATTTCAGTAAGAGTTTCTGGGATGCTTGTTTGCCTATATCTTTTTAATGAAGATCCCATTACTGTAGCCTGAGTTAATATCAATCAATACCTAATTATTAAGGCCTTTGACCACCACTCTCTGTTCTCTTGCCTTCATCTAAATTACATTAGTTCCTTGTTCATATTAAAGTTTAATGTTTCTGTATATTTATATTTATGTATCTTTTTGATTTTACTATGGTAATTTTTATTTTCTTATAATTTTCATATTTCCTCTTCATATGATCCACTAGTGAGATGAGTACTGCATCACTCAAAGTGTTATCACGTTAAAGGCAGAATAAATAAATAAATAAAATCAACCAATCAATCCTCAGAAAGAAGTTAGATTAGGCCTAATTAAAAAAGTATTAGTTTATCACACTATCTATGCTGGAAAAGTGATGAGGGAAGGAGGCTTTTTATTTTCATTATTCATTTTCCTTGGGTTGTTTGCTGGTGCATTGATATTTGAAGTAAAATACATGATTGAGATATTAAACAAACAATATCTGGCCTCTTACTGAAAAAAAAAATCAAAAAAAATCTTTTCTTTAATTTAAAAAAAAAAAAGAAAAATTAAAAAATGTTCTTTTTTTTTCAATACCACCATGCGCATGGGAGAGGGTGATAAACTAATCATTTTCTTTATTGGGCCCTAATAAAACCTTTTTCATCCACCTTCACAGCAGTGTATATTTTACTACTATATATAGAGACTATAAAACGTAAAGCAAATATACATAATAATATTACAATATTTAGTTGAACTTACACTTTCATTACAGTGGCACTCATCAATTGACAGTCCGTTCAAAACCAACAAAAATTTAAAAAATTAAAAAAAACAAAAACAAAAACAAAAACAGACGCGACAGGTCATGATTGCCATGGATGCCGGTGAAGATCTTTAAACTGTAAAAAAATTTGCCATGGCAGTCACGGTGCAGATGAGAAACCTAGTAGGCCGTAGTAAAATGGAGAGAACGCAAACAAAACTTGAAAGCATATAGGAACAATCCCAGAAATTAAACAAGAAGCAATCGACGAAAACCAAGCTGTGAAAGAAAAAACCTGAACAAGACCACAAAACTTGAATACGGAGAAAAAAATTGCCAAAATCCTACGGCGCACTATGTTTCAGGCAAACAGGGTTGCCGTGGCCACCGGGAACATAATGTAAACCTAGCAAAAACAAAAGGACTACAGTACGTCAAAGTGCTGGCAAGATAAGAAAGCAAGTACACCCTGCCAGCCAGCATACTGTACGTTTCCCGATTAAATTTCATTGAAACCAATGTTTTGACCAAAATCCCTACTACTGTAAATCATGTCAGTACATATGCGCTAGGGTCTCTGTGTAGTATTGTGCCTATTTAAATAACGTACTATATCAAAATCACTAATAGTTTATCAATGTTTCTGGTCGTCATCCTATTTACAGTAAAAGCAATGAAACAGTTTTAAAATATCTACGGCAGCTACAATGTTTCCCAATTGCCTTCTTTTCTCTATAAAATTATGATTTGTGTTGCCCTCCTTTGAATGCTTTCACTTTTTTCAGTATTACTCATGTTTATCATCTGGTGACCACATAGTACAACAGTGACAATTGGCATTACCAGTGCTTTATACAAGTTAAGCATTGCTTCCAAGACATTTCTAATGCACCTGATCACAAAATCAAGAATTTTACTAGCCTTTTAGAACAAACATAGTTAACTTGAGTATGACATGTTACTTTACAGTTGATACAGACACCAAGCAACTTGAACTTTTAGAGTTAATAGTGTAATCATATTACATCTTTACATCTTGTTAAAGTCATTACAGCACATTTTGATGGATTCAGTGTTAACTTATTTATCACAGACCATTCAAAAGTAATTAGATCATTCTGAAAAGCTATACAATCATCAATATTGTGAATAAGATGTGAATGTGTAGTGATCATCTGCAAATTGAATAATTGAAGAAGAATTACTTAGATCAATATTACTGACATAAATTAAAAACAAAAGAGGGCCTAAAACAGAGCCGTATGGTACTCCAGATTGATGTAAAGCATAGCATACCATGCAATAATAATAATACCATAATAATAAGCATAACATGGTTAAGTAAAGACTCAATATATTTGATCAGATGTGTAAGCATTCATCTGACAAAAAAATAAAACAAATCATGTCTCAAAAGCGGAGCACTCACTGAACCCACGCAATATATCTATGGAAATCACAATGCCATGATGCGCACACAACAAATCATTTTTAATGACGATCAGTTTAGACTGCCACCAACAATCAGCAGTCGGCATCACGTCGCCGAATGCTCACAGGGAGCGCAGGTGGTTTCGTTGACCAACGGTCGAAAGACCATCTTACGATGCAGTGAGTACAAGGATTAAGATGCGACATTGAGACTCCACTGGAAGAAGTGATTATGTTTCAAATATAAAGCTCTGTCCACACTATAAAGTTTTATGTAAACAAATTATGATCTGTCCACATGGACAGTGATGTGACATCGATGCTCATATGTGACAAAGACAAGCCAAGCCAGTCACTCATCGCAAAAATCGATTTTGAGTTATTAATACAGGGTTAAAGAGTAAAATAAGACTGCTATAAAATGGTAAAAAATAATTAAAATCCGACATTTCCTTATGAAGTTATTAAGTGTTTAAACATACAGCTGTTTAAAGAACGATATATGAGAAATAAGCCTTCAAAATGTATGGTTTCGGGCATTTCTCATGCAGAAATTATCATCAAATCCTTAAAAAGCATTATTTTCTCTGAAACACGATATGCGACGAGTGACTGGTTTGGCTTGTCTTTGCCACATATATGAATAAATCACATTTTGTTCATATCAAATCTGATAGAGTGGACAGACCTTAGAATAGAATAGAATAGAAATCTTTCTTTATTCTGGATACTCAGTCAGTATTTTTACACTGTTCTTCCCTGAGGTCCAGGGTATTATCTTAAACTACATTATATTACAAAATAAAATTAAAAGAAAAAGGCATAAAATATACCTTCACACAAGTCTTAGTGCTGGATGTATTGAATTGTATAATACTGGTGGGTTCACTTGCTATTATGAGAATGTATTTGTTTAATAAAAAACTTAATATATTAAAAAAATAATATCAACCTTAAAAAAAGGCTGGTGTCTTGCAAACTTTATCTTAGTTTTGAATGTACAGTACTCGTGACAGGCACCACCATGAAACTCATTTTCCCACAATATTTCCCAGTGATTACATAATTTTACACTTAGGGTGGATAGGAAGTAGCGTGCACAATTTACGAATCCCTGTCTAAACATTAGGATGTATACGTTGTCTTGTCCTTGATTATTAAAACCACAAATGAATGGAGAGGTCTGCTGGTTTGGAATCAATGATTTTAAAGTCATACTCTAAATCTTTCACTATATTCAAATCAAAGCATACCTATATTATCTACAATATACTGAAATATATTATTGAATAATCACATGAAAACACAATTTTACTAAGTTTATCCACATTATCAAGTATGGCAAAAATCTGTGAAATCTGCCCAAACAGTATATGGGCATGATGTCATCAAACTGTCCATATTGGGCAAGTCACAGTTACATGTCACATAAAAATTAATATTATGGACAAAATATAATATACTAGTTAATAAAAGTTTACATTAAAATAATAATTGTATTTTTTTTATATGCTTACATAATGCATTACACAGAAATCACAATACAACATTAGTGAATAAAATGGTTTTGGCAAGTACAGGTTATACTTGAAAAAGAAACTTCAAAAAAGTAGGTACTACAGCGAGGTTATCCAGGTACACAAGAACTTCAGAAAACAAGTATATATGTGCCGGTACAAGGAACATTCGGCACTGACATTACAATAATGTACAAAGGGTGCTTAATTCTCCTTTACAAAGATTATTATCCAAGACAGTGTGTCAACACATGATACATACTATAAACACTACAACAAAGCACAAAGTTAACAAATATTGAAAACCTGAAGTTATTACCATACTATAGCATTACCTTTTTTAAGACTTAATTATGGTACTCAATTTCTTGGTCTCTATTATAATTACATGCAAAACACCTTACATTTATAGCTTTTTTTCTTTTTGTATGTATGTCTACTTTTTTCAAGTTGTTACTACTACTACAATGCAAGATCAGTTTCACAACCATTAGAATTACCAGCATTACTTCCGTTCATGCTTGAAACTACAGTGTACTTAAAACAAACACTACATTATGCAAGCTAACATTAAAGGGACAGTCATGGAAGTATTCATACTGTATTCTGGGTTTTTTCAAATCATAAAAGATACTGTTAAAGTGCGAGTTAAAGCCTGAGAAATTAGGGTGATGGGCAAAGTAACAATTATATATTTTTACCATAAAATATTATTTAATTGTGAAAATTTGTAAAAAATTCTTAAATTTGTTATTACTATGGCAACTTAAAATTAAATGCCTGATTCGCTAGCTTAACGGCAGATTGCTGGTCAAATAAATATTATGTAAAGATGTAAGATCCCCAAGTTTTAATCTTAAAAATTTGGACTTTTTCCTAATTGGAAGAGGGATTGCAACCCCCTGGATACAGACAGGCAGTGCCTATAGCATACTGCAGTCCATCAAAAGCACTACTCCTTTAGCAAAATTGCAAAATATCATACCCCTTTTACACTAGCAAGGTCAGAATAAACTTGTGTTTATTCCGGAGTGATTTCGGGTGCATTTCCTATTTACATCGTATGTAAAAATCCGGGCTGTGCCCGAGTTGCGATGTGATCATCACTTCGCTCAAGTTGCTTGCGTAGTTATGGAGCCCAATTACTGCCAATAGTTAAGCAATAAATCGGCAGATTTTTTCTTTATATGTGAATTAAATCAGCAATTTTGTTGTCAAGTCTATACAGAAGCAAAGAAGGTTTAATTTTAAAAGCGTGTTGGCCCAGTTTGTTGGCAGCCATGTTTAGGCCTACCTGACCACAGCTGCGGTAGGCGCTAGGTAAGGTTTATATTCCGGAATCAAATTCGGTGTTGTTTACACTGGCGATTCCGTGTACAACCAATTTGTCCAACGCTGAATGCATCCCGCACATCAATCCTGGAATGTTTGACAACCCAAGTCATACTTTCTGACGTTTACACCAACCACAACTCAGAAGTTTCTAGCATGGATATTGGAAAAAGGGTATAAAATAAGAAGAATAGATAAAAGCTGAATTCATTGGCAAGGCACTTCCTTTAATCTGACATGCACTGTATCCAGCAAACCTGTAGATGTATAATAAAAATTCTTAATGTCATACTAAGGTGCAAACATCCATCTCAGAGAAATACTCATTGAATCATTTTTCTTTGGCACAGGGCAACCCTTTCTGCATTTTAAATTTGTTTTCTTTATTCTTTACAAAATAAAAAAATATTGGTACCACTTTGCAAGAGTTGAACTTAGGAACATGGGATTGGAAGGCAAGCTATCTTTGATCATTGAAAAACAAATCATATGGAAACTATCTATCTGGAAGCTATCTTTGGTTCAATATTTATATGATCTATTTGATGGTTATTTTAATGCTGTCTTTCTTGGTAGTTTATGGGGGTTTTCTTTACGGATTTTTATTCTAATCTAATACTTTTGCTGGCCAAGCTTAGCTCTAAATGTTTCCTGAGCTGAGAGACACACGTTCGGCTATGATTCCTATCACACATGGCCTTTCCTTACTCTTGAGAGTAACTTACAAAACATGCTCTGTATCGCTGATAAATCAAAAGATAAATAAGATGACTACAGGAAATATCTACAGGTTCCTAGGCCAAGGATTATTTCCTTGCTTAACACTGCAGAGTCGTTCCCTTCTTAGAAGTACTGTATACCAAAAGCATTGTTCAACACTGCAGTCTTTCCCTTCCTCAACCAAGTATTGTAAACCAAAAGCCTTGCTGATTTTGAATTAACATAGAAATTATCAAATTGAACATAGAAATAAGTGAATTCAAAAAATGTTTTTAAATTTTAACATGGCTCCAGCGTATAATGGCAATTTACAAATTTTCACTACTATTTATTTCAACTGATAAAAACATAATAAAAAAAATATTTCCTTATAAATTTATCATTACATATCATTTCTATTCCTTGCACTGGCTAGCTTTAAAAAAAGTATTTAAATTTAGTAATATTCAAATTATTTCTGATGTTGTGAGGGCATACCTTCAGACTTTTTCTTGATCAATTCCCTAGTTTACATTGCATACCTTGCAGCAAAAATTGAAATATGAAACTTTAGATTTTTTCCAATTAATTCAAAACTGGAATTATAGTCAAATATGTTATATTTTTTTTTTAAACATTGAGCTTTCTATAGCTCAGCTAGCTTTTTTTTGGTGAATTATTTACAGACCTCTCTGGAGTCATGTAACTTGATTCTATAGAACATTAAATATAAATAAAAGAAAGATAGTAACTTTGGTATTTATAACACTCTTTATTAATGTTATATTATACCATATGAATTATGCAATAAAAACAATAATGAAATCAGGTATCAACCTTTAACATTACATGTTACTGTATCATAGCAATACGACTCAGGGTCAGCAAGGCACAAACTGGTAGGATCTCCTTGAAAACTTCCCTGAAACAACAGGGCCTTAGGAAAAATTTGCACTCATCAGGCTTAAATAATTAAAACTGAAATTAAAGTTTATCTCAATTTTGCATTGAAGGAAACCTTAATTAGTTTGATGTACCGTAGGGCAAACAACTCTAGGAATATTGTACATGATGTTAAATAGAGAAATAAATACTCAACAAATTTTGAGTACTATATAAAAGTTCAATATTGCTTTCCAAATACTTTACTGAGGAAACGAATTCATACCAATCTATACATAACAATACATTGCATTGGATTGCAAAACAACAGCTGGTCTGCAAAAGCATTGAGAATGAAAAATCTAGCCTGTATTCAATCAATACTGTATCAAATACCAATGCGACAAAAACTAAACATGGAGTCATGAATGAAATCTATAATCAACAGATTAATTAACAAGTTATAAATAGTTGTGTATAATACAGTAAGCTCAGAATACATTCAATGTTGAATCAATACAAAATGTGTGATTTATTTTAATTTTATGTTGTTTTATTAAATTGAGATTTACCAGTTATGTGAAGTGTATCTAAAGGCCTACTACAATATTCAACCTTGATATTATTTTTATTATTGTATAAGTTATAACATTTTCATAATTCTAAAATTAACACTTATTACAAACTTTAGGAAAAAAAATGTTAACCTAAACTATTTAAGAACAATAATTACTGCAATTAATTTTATTTTATGCAATTTTCAAAATAAATCTAATGAAAGCAATGTACAACATAAATAATTATCTAAAAAATTACTATGTATAGTACAAGAAAAACATCTGTTGATGATGAGCTTTTAAGTTTATAATACAACAACTGCTTGTACAACAATTTTGTTTCAAGTTATTATGTATCTTGCCAAACATTTGAGATACTCTGCTACAAATACAAACAAATTGATTATAATTTGCATTTGACTATACAGTATTCTAACAATTATGTAATTGTAATGTTAAAGATTGCACAAAATGTTAATCCGGACAAAATTACTTTTAATTCAGTTCTCTATTCTGCCTAAAATAGCCTACTATTCCAACATGGTAAAAGCAAGTAAATTAAATTAACAACAAAATAAATACATACAATGCATCGATATCTGAACAAGAAGTATAGCACGTATCATTAATATTATAATCCAAATCCAATTCCAATTCGCATTCAGAACTGCAAGAGCTAGTCGGGCTAGGCAGTACTGGACCACCAGCTACTAGATGTATCTCATCCATTGCAATACTGGCTTCTTTCAACAGGATCTACCATATGAAAAGGGTGTCCCAACTTAAGCCAGCACTTCCTCTCGACAGAGAGATTACTCTCACGACACGGCAGTTAAAGGTCAAATTAGCAAACTGGGCTGCACACGAATTTCAAAATTACTAATTTACGGATATAGAAGTGAGACAACACTCTTGGATGACATAGCACTCGGCAGATACCAATGTCACAATGCTATACCACATGATTTCTAATTTGTTTTATAGCATCATCAGTAACATATGGTGGATCTACCATAAGCAAATATCTTATTGATATTTGCGACAGAATTAAAGGGGATTTTTATGTACATTTTTATATTACAAATATTAGCTCTCATTTTAGATCCGGACACGACAAAAACAGTATGACAGTCTTAAAGTAATTTTAAGTATTTGTAACTCAACACTTGTCAATTAAATAATTATTACTATTATAATAACATTTATACTAATAATCTAATTATATTCTAAATAATATTTAAAATAATAATCTCAATGACTATAATAATTACAAAAATAATAAAATCAAACAGCAACAAATTATAAATTGTTATTCAAATTATCATAATTACACACTGCAGAATGTTATACTAAAACTATTTAAAATATTACTATTTACAGAGCTGGAACATTAGTTACTCAAATATAACTACCCAAAACTTTAAAACATCAGCCTCAAGAGTTATTACCATAATTACATGGATTGCAAAAAAATTGCACATTTTGATATTTACCATATTTCAGAAGAATTTGTAAAATGTAGCCTAGTATTACAGTTATTCCTTTCCATCTTCAAATCTTGCGGAAAATCCATTTAATTATTAGGCCTAAAAGAAGTTTTATGTTATCAAGCCAAAATGAACAAAAATCTGAAAATGCTCAGCTTTTCTTCTAAAAAATATAATATTCCCCAAGAAGACACCTGGAATGTTTATATTTTAGTACTAAATGCACTTAGCAATATTGAAAGTAAATTGTTTACTTTTCAATATCGCATTCTTTATGACTAATAGATATACAAGGGCCTATAATAGTGCCCTCTAAAACTTCATTTTCTCACACTCAATTTGTTTATGTTTTGCCAACATAATTTCATTTTGTTTATAGCTCCTCCACATGGCAAAACCATTTCTCTAAATGAGACGATTTTTTTTCACCCTCTTCTGATGCATTTTCAAAAATAAGGAAGCAGATCACTTAATTCATTTGTCTCGCATTCCTGATGACATAATTAAATAATAAAATAATGAATCCCGACACGATGGCGTGCATTTCGATACTTGGAGTATGTATTATACTTTCTTTTCACTTGTCTCTGTTTCTGTCTGTGTCTTTCGTTGTCTTTTTATGCTGTTATTTATCCATAGACTGTATTCTGTGTGGTATGAGATAGTTTTTTCTGGAACTGATGTGGATCAGTTGCTCTTGATGATTTGAAATTTGGAGGACACTTGGCTTGCACTTTGCAACTGAAAGGAAAGGCGCATTATAGATGCCCAGTAACAGTAACATGAAAAGTAACATGAGGCTACAGAGTGGAGTGCAATAGCTTAGTGGTTAACCTTCTAATCCCAGGGTCCTGGGTTCAATTCCTGTCACAGCAGGACTATTTCTCACGACTAAAAACAACTCCACTGACTAGGCCTCAATAAGAGACTAGATACTGTATATAAAGCATTGTTTCATCCTGTAAGTGGTGAGTGTACTTCCTGTTGGATGTAAAGGAAAGAATAACAATAATAATAATAATAAAAATAAATAAATAAATAATAAAATAGTTATTACGCTAAATGGATTCTAGGCCCATAAGCAAAAACTTTGCCTGTTGAATGTTAAAATGGCCTAAAAAAACAGTGACCCTTGCTCACACAGGTTCATTGTCCAGGCTTGGAGAAATTGTATATTAACAATTAAATTGCATTGACCTTTAGTCTCCCAAATTTCTGCAGTTTATTGCATTTAACTATAATACAACAATGTACATACCTATTTTAGATATTCTGAACATTTTTGTGATGGAAATTAAACTTGTTAAAGCATTTTTGCACAAAATAGGGAGAAAAATTGTCATGAATATAGAATAGCTTGTCACCATGGTGATGTAAACATCTCGCTTTATGGCAAAATATAAACAAAAGAATTTAAATTCTATTTTTGTAATTATAACTCTGCCCTGTGAGTGATCACTTACTGTGAACCTTGCATAGCAGGAAATGAATGAATGCTAAGTACTGCTAGATAATAAATGCACTTATTTTCAAGATACTAATGGTTCCTGTGTCAAGAGATAATTCAATGTTTTGATAACGTCCTTTACTTGATGCTAATTGGAACAAGTTTACTAGAGCTTAATCGAATGACAGTCAGTAAAATAAAATGCTTTTTACTAAAAATAAAATCATTATTCACAATAAATACAGTGTGTTTACTAAACAAATATACATTGTACACTTACTGTAGGAATTTAACCCTATTTTACATATCATGTTCATACCAAAAGCCAACGGTCATGTGGGAATTAAAACAAATTTGTTGATATCGTTGGATTGGTTGGAACACAATTGAGGGTCATTTGTTCGCACTTGAGGCCTGGCTGACCCCCATGACTCACAGGTACCAATCTAGGTTGATGATAACAAGGAAATGATAGCACATTGAGAAGAAACTATAGAGGGCTGATATTGACCAAGATTCCAACATGATAGGACCATTGGTTTGACAATTGTGTTAATACCACAAATAAGTAATCTATAAATTACTGCAAATAAAAAGCAGTGTGCTGTAAAATATGAGGCACTCCAACTGAGAGGACAGTTGTGACTTCATGGAGAGGGCGCCATCATTCAAGATCCTGGGTTCCATTCCTACAAAAAACAACTGTACTACCTAAAGCCACATACTCATAATTTTACAGAGTAATTTTGTTTGAAAATTTCAATGGTTCATCAAGTAGATGCTCCACTCTTGAGTATCTTCTCATTGGCAATAATTCATTGAATCAAAAAAGGGAAAATTAACATCTCGATGAGATTTGATTGACAGATATACCGACTAATCAGCGAGCGTCATTTAGTCATGTGATCAAAAACTTTTTCTTGGACATTTTAATTTCCTTAGACAGCTGGTTGTTAACGCGACACATACGTGAGCCTAGATGTCTATCTTGGTTATAGATACCCGGATTTAAATGCGAGCAGTGTGCATCAGTGACTTGGCATTTGCCGACGATGAGGTTGACTGAATGCGACTTTTCCCTCTTCCTTTGGGAGCAAAATACTGTGCAGAGGCTTTTACAACAATTTCCCCGCCTGTTCCAATGAAATAGATTAACACTATGAATATATGATTCATTTGCATACCGCCTACCCTGAATTCTCTTTCTTAAAGGATGTTGATAGAAAAGAAAATATTCGACAACTCGGTAAGTCTAGCCGCCATTGTCTAAGGTTTTCGTAACTTTGTGGGTGGGGCTTCGCGTCCTTATCGACATGTCAATTGTTTTATTTCTTTAAAAAAAAATGGCCATTATAATACTGTTATGTGCTAAAACATCTCAGGACACCTTAAACTGACCCAAAATTGCCCAGCTTTACTCAACATCTTCCCTTTCCCTGACTCACTTTAGGCAAATATTGGTGCCACCACTGAGCTGTACATAAAGTTGGTCACAATAATTGTCAAACCTCCCTTTGAATACAATTAAGAAGTGTTATGAATATCTTACCCTGTCATTTTCTTGAGTCTGAAGCTAGCCTGTGTTCTTTTATTCCGTGTTAATCCGGTGCCAGCATTGTCAATTTCCAAATGAGTGAGAGGAACCTATGAGGATTATTTAAAAAAAAAAAGTTAAAATAATTTAAATTTAACAATATTTGAAAGTTATAATATTTAGAGTTATGAATATTTTATTACAAATAAATTATACAGCATACTGTATCTATCAATTGAAATATAATGTAGTGTTCCCTCAAAGCCGTTTTAGCCATCAATATTACAGGTAAAAATATTCGGCCAACCAGTAAAAATTTAGAGTTTGTAAAATAAAAAAAAACTACTGATTAGTAGGCTGGCCTTCTTTTAATAAATTAACATCATTCCAGTCTATGCCTAGGCTAAGAATATATGTGTTGTTGTTACCTCAAGTCATTAAATTTCTCTCAAAAGGGATAACACCTCACACAATGCTGAATTTTTATGGACAAATTTACCAGTAGAAAATTTTCAACTGGGAGAACACTGATAGTAATAGTGCCTTATTCCAACTGGGCACTGGTAAAACATTTTGCATTCATTTATTCCTCATTCATTTATACACTTTTATTCCCATCCAGCTAATCTGAGTTTAAATCTCACACTCCACAGGCAACAAAGACCTGAAGCAGAAAGCATCAGAAAGAGCCAGATAGAGGACTTCACGAACAGATGCCATGTCGCTGGAAGAAAGTGAATAAATGATAGTGATAATGTATTCTCCATCCATGTAATCTTCTATTCATATTCTCCGTACATTATTTATTTTCCATTTATTTATTCTGCATACATTTACTCTGAATATGTTAATTTTTGTATTCATTTATTGCTCCATTCGTTTATTCTTCATTCATTTATTCGCCATTACTTTATGCTCCATTCATTTATTCTGCATTCATTATAGTGTACTCCCTAAACCAGGGTATGGAAGAAGGCAGGATCAGAAATATATCAGAAATAACTAAATCATTTATTCTCCGCACATTTTTTATTCATTTATTTTATTCATTTATTCTCTACCAAGGTATAGAAAAAGGTAGAGTCCCTTTGATATCTGAATCAATTGCACTGCATACTTACAGAGACCAAAAAAAACAAACCATAATACATTGTACAGGATGTAATTTAAGGAAAATTACTGGAACTCACTAGTTGCTATAAATATGGAAAAAAATCAGAAATACATATCGAGAACTACACATTCTAAAGGAATTTCAACATATTCCAAATTCCTAGAGCCCATTTTCTGAATCCCAAATAATAGAGCAGACAGAACTAAATAATTTATTCTAGAAAATCTATAAAACATGACAACTGAAGTCTTGTTAACTACATTTTCACTCACCTGTATGACGAGAGCACTAACAATAATATAGCTCAAATTTTTCAGATATGCCTACAGTATAATCAAATCAGCATACCATAAGTAATAACAATTTAATAGGGATATGGAAACAGTTGGTCTGATCGGGAGATAATGTTATTGACACATAGTGACGACACTGAATGATTTGTATTCTCCTGATACTTTGAATGCTAAACTACATTTCGACTGAATGTTGTTGCTACCAGATTATCCATTCAGGGTTTAACCTTTCCGTGGTAATTATCCTTTAAAGGCAAAGGCATCGTGAGTCAAAATGATCCATATGTTGAAGGATGGAGGCATCCATTTAAAAATAAATAATCTAGAAATCAACAGTATATACTCCAGTACATTACAGTATTGCAAACTACATATAATTCCAAAGTATGTAAAAACAGACAAATTGTTTTTCCGAAGGACGACCAAATTAAGAGTTGAAACTATTGAATCCCAACACGATGACAGGTCTACACTTGGAATTTGCCATACTATCAAACTTCATTATGCTGCAAAACATAAACAAATCAGCTGCAAAAATAAAACTATCCGATCCGGAAATAAGTAGAATGTTTACAATAACTCCAGACAAGTCAGACTTTATCCAATGTTAGGCAAACAAAAAATAGCAGACAAGGTATCATAAATGCTACCATCAAACATGGCAACACTCATGTGAAGTGTGTTTGAAAAAGGGTAAGCACACACCATTTGACGCCTCTCCGGACGCCTAGGAACCTTGCGGACACGTCCAGGCATATAGCTTTTGTGTGAATAAAACCTGTGTAGACATTGTTTTTACAACAACTGATTGAGCACCGTATATAGTTATTTTCCACTTAAAGTGTTTCCCTTTCACAGGTAATGCACTGGAAAGAAGATGATTTACAATAGCTAAACCTAGCAGGCTGTATATATACACAGACACCAGTCAAGCCCACTGATGCGGTACAGGTACAATGGCCTATGGTACTCGCCAACCAATTATAACGCAACCCTTACACCCCTCCTGTATTATAAAGGTCATTATAAGCATGTAATACTCAAACATATCAAATATACAGTTTACATGATGGCTTTGAAAAGTTTGTTGCAAACCATTGCTATTACATACTGTTTGTTGAGATAATTAACTTGAACAATAAAATTCAATTGGGTACTTTGTACTGTATTAAACTTCAATTAAATATTATAAAGAAGAAAATATTCATTACATAACATTTGTGTTTTTTTTTATGTTTTCTGTGTACTTTTGTGATTTTTCTCAAAAAATAAAGGTTTACTAAATAACTACTTTCTTCATACAAAACCATCTGTCAATCAAACATCATCTTTTGACACTTGCTCACCATGAATGGTACTTAAGCTAATTAAGTACTTGCTAAAACAGACCCCCTAGCTGAGCATTATAACAATCCCTCACAGATCACCAAATATTGATCACTAATGTACAATTGAATAGAATCGGTATCAGTGACAACCTTGGTGAACGTGCCACACTTCACCGTTATAGACAACCTGTGATATCTCTCTACAGACTCCAAGTCTACTTATATATTCATGTAAACACGACTGCTATTTTTATAGCAAACATTTACATTTTGGTAATTGTTAAATCGTGTTCAAATGGGAATTTTTTTATGATAAATCTGAATCTTAAAAGTCAGAGTTCAAAGGTTACATATTTGAGAGCTAATTTGGGGGCCATTGCTACCTATACAGTATATGCCATACTTTTAAATTAATATTATACCAAAACTCACAACACCCCCAACTTAAAACCCATTATTTATGTACTACCTATCAATACAGTAGTTCATACTGAAAGATAGTTATTTATATAATAATTAGCAGTTTGTTATGTAACTCTATTGTGAGTTTGCCATGACATCGACAGACTACCTTGTACACCAGATGCTCTGACTAAATAGAGAAGTAATGAATAAAATGCCTTGAGCAAAATTCTCCATCTATTATTACAATGGCTTCAAGGCTGAATCCAGAATGTTTCTGCCACAAAAGGAGAAATGGTGGTGTACTGGGAAGCAAAAAGCACAATTTCGGGATCTCCTGTCGTATGGTCAAGAGTTTGGGATGCCCTTCACCATTTTAGTCATTATAATACCTTATCTGAAATATTTCAAGCTAGTTTAGAGTTCTCTTGGCTACTAGCCTTACCAGGGATATTGTAAATTGTACCTTAGTTCCTTGGGTATTATTTCACCTTTCCACCCTTTAGTTTATGCCAAATTTTATGTACAATTACCAGACTTTCATCGAGAAAAAGCAAAGGGTAGGATTTTAATGAGTGGCTTTGCCAATTTTTACGAATACTCTCATAGAAAAAAGTGTCAAGTATTGATTTTGAATTAGCCATGTAGTGCTGAAAAATTGCCTATTGGAAAGGGAATCTCATAGATACAAGCTCAAATCAAATAGAACTCCACTTTAAAAAATAAATAATAATAAATGAAATACACACAAGTAAGAAATTTAAGCATGACTGATAAAACAACAACATAATATAGGATTGGATTGAATTTCTTAGGTGTGTAATACACACCAAGGATAACTCACAAAAGTCCAGAGACTTACTTCCAGTGAGGTCCTTCTGGTGGTGAATTGGGTAGTAGTACACCGGGAGACAATCCCCTACTATTTTCCAAAAAGTGTATTGCCTGCTTTAAAACGCACATGCGCAATTTTGCACTTAAGCGTCTCATCCGTAAGACCATGTGCTTTTGAAACTTCCATTTTAACCCTCCAGGTGAAATCCAAGGAGAGCAGCAATGGGAATTGAACCAAGGACCACGAGATCTCCGCGGTTCAGCACACACACAGTGGCTACTACCAGTTTAGCCAACTGAGCTACAGTAGCTGCTCTCTCTAAAATGTTCATAATAAAATATGATGCTCAACGAAGCCATAATTGGAGATATATTTGAGTATGCAAACTTACCATCCTGTTGTGTAATTCCGAAAAATTCAATTGAAACATTGAAATAATTGTGAAAGTAGAAAAATTACCACCTTTCAAATGAAACACAGATCAAAACAATCCCGTTTTCAATGACACAGACTTTTTATATAAAAATTGAATGCTAGCCAATTTTAGGATCTACGTAAAGAACATAAGGACGATATTTATGGATCTGTTAATTGGCATGGTGAATACTTTCACATTCTAATTTTCATTTGAAAGCTATAAACATATAGTATACTCAGGTGTACATCTAATAATCAGGATATCTTTAAAAAAAAGTGTAATTACTTACTTTGTATAATTCAATACACAATCTTTAATTTTGAAAATTATACCATGAAAAAATTGTCGTCGTCAATTAACAAACATTTAAATAATACAATTCCTACACTCTTTGCATTACCCTATATCTGCCAGCAGATGAGATTTTCAGAGTAAAACATTTGTAAATCATTGACAACTCATTTTAATCTGTGACTTATTGTATGTTAATATAATCTATGTGAATCGTTATAAATTAAAAAAACCAAAGTTTCACATTCCTTTTAAAGGTTTTTCCCTTTTGGGTGGCTGTTTATCTTCAAATATGCAAATTACAAACAAAAAATCATAGTGTCAAACTTGACAAGATTTAATTAAGACATTGATAACAATGCTAAAAAAACTTATATTGAGGTTTACTTAAACTTTAGGCCGTGAGTTGGGTGACTTGGACTACTTCATCACCTGATGGCCTGGCCTCCAGTAGGTTCCCTCGCTTGCCCTGGCATACTTTCAAAATTTGCTCACACTGTGTTGTGCTGTTTAACATAACAGACAAGTTAGGGATCTACTTCAAAAAATAGGTACCAGCAAAACAAAATACATGCGTAATCTAATTAATAACCAGGATGCTGATTAGGGATTGCATCCCAGGTAAACCAAAGGTAAATTTGATGGAAGAAAGTGAGGAGTATCCATTTGATTAAAACCCTCTGCACTTGCGCAGATACATCGTTCAGTTGTTTATATTTCTTACATAAATTCAAATTATGATTTTTTTTTTTATTTTACATCTTTGACTAAGTCCTACTGCTAAATGTGATTTAAGGTTTGATGGTGATTTTTAGTGGACATTAATATAGCATACTGTATTAAATCCGGGTTAAAATGGGTACAGAAAATAGTTTCCAGGTTTTCATCGAATTTATATTAAGTTAAAATCTGAAAGATAAAAAATGAATATTCATTTGATTTAAAAACTTTGATTACTTCTATTCTCTGCACTTGTGCAATATTTCGTTCAGTTGTTTTTAACTTAAATTTAAATTATGACTTTTCATGTTTATGTCCCATTTTATATATTTTACTTACGCTTAGGCCTACTATTAATGTGATTTAACTTTTGATGTTAATATATATATTTTTTTTATTTTATGTGATCCACTGGTGAAATTAGTGCTGTGTCATTGGAACTTTGTCATCCTTTTAACAGGAAAACAGTAATCCCATTAAAGACAAAAATAAATATTTTAAATTTCAGTTTTCATTTAAAGTATATTATCCGGGTTAAAAGTGGGTACCAAAAATATTTTCCAGGTTTTCATCGAACTTATATTAAGCTCCTTACACAAGTTTATGACTCAACATCTGGTGAGTTGCCACAACAAAAACAAAAAGTGGAGATTCTGAGCTTTAAGATTTCCTGAGAATATATGTCCAATATCCTGAATGATGATGTCCTATTGTTTTGCGTCATTAATACATATTTTACTTTCTATATGTTTTTGATAAAGAAACATTACCTATGTTGTGCTTTCTACTTTTACAAATCATTAGTTTTCAATTAGTTAACAAAGTTTGGTTAATATATTTTTCTAACCATTTAATCTAGTCCATTCCTATTTCTTTTTTTTCATCATCGTTTATGTAAATTCTATATTTCAGTGAAATGTAAATAGGCAATTGATTTTTTTAAAATTAGTATTTTCAAGAATTTATCTATGTTGTATATTTATGTTAAAACTGGATTGTACTTAAATTGTCTGATGCTGACAATTTAGAAAATTTTATCAATTTTTGATGCAATGCCTTATCACTGATAAAATAATTGACTACTAATTACTTCGATCATAGCAATCAATAACAATGATAAAAGTTTAGTAAACGTACTACGTGACAAAATACATATAACATCTAAATACTAATGGGTGAATCATGGACCAAATATCCCTTTGTTCAAACCACACATTTATTTTAAGTATGCCACTCAAATACTGGGGTTATCAAAGCAGAGACTATCAATCAATCAATCAATCAATCTGATATAGGAAATAATGGAAATGATACCAATTCAAGCAAATGTAAGGATCTTTCTGGAGTGTCAATCAATCTTAACAACTGACCAATCAGAACACTGATAATAATATGTGCTTGTCTCACAAACACACATATATTTACATACATTTATAGCATCTTTTTGTGGGACTTTAGCGATGCTATAGTACTTCATACATAAATATTGTAAATGTTGCAAAATATTGAAATACAAGTAAATCTGAATAATTGATGGCTCACCATAATTGAGAAAGTAATAGATCTAATCTTTCAGAATCAAGTGCATAATCTGACCTGTCTATAAATAGTGTCCAGTAAGTTGTTCTTATTTTAGGTACGAGTCAAAATGCATTACTGTGAAATACAACAGATGAGTCTGAAACCTACCAGCAAAAAAGATATCTGGCCAAAATATATAATATCTATAAAGGATTTTTATCTTACAATATTAATGTATTATTTATGTACTTATATTTATAATACACACACAAACATTTTAATGGAATTTTGTATTGTAATAAGGCAATGCTTTTTTTATTCCTTGTTTCGCGTACTTATTTTTTTAAAGATCATCGGAGGAGGGCTGAATAAAAATAAAAATCAAATTTTGTTTTCTTATGTAGCAAATAGATTTGCCAAAAACATCCAGACGGAGGAATTTTATTGGTGAATGTAAAATAGGATGATTAAATGCTTCAAATTTATATAATTAGGAAGAAATATACATATTTTGCCTTTGGAGATTTCAAGGTAGCGGAGGGCATAATAAAATAAAGAAAAACTTTTATTTTTTTCTGAAATTTCCACTTTTTTGTGGCGGCGGGTGTGCTAGTTGGCCAAAAATAAAATTTTATTTTTATTCGAAATCATCAATATTTGCGGGTTCACTGAACAAGGTATAAAAAAAGTCTCCCTAATAAAGAATGGCGAAATGAAAAATGTATAAACTTGCAATTAATTGGGTTACGTAGAAAAATGCAATTAATTGGGTTACGTAGAGCAACTGAATGGCGACGATAGTGTCTTGGAATCAAAACCCTCATGTGAAAACAATGTTTTATTTTATTATTAATATTCTAAACTACGGGTGGCACGCAGGGGGCCAGGAATCCCCGGGGTGAGCTGGGCCCCCTAAATTTGTACTCCTGGGCGGAAAGAGGAAAACGTTGCTCATAATACCTTATCCAAAAAGTAGACACAAGCGAAATTCTTTGATCTAAAGCTTTATGCCGGGCACTCACTGCATGTATAGTCGTCAGCCGACGCATTCTTTAGAGAACACAATGCCACCACGCGCACGCCACTGATCATTATTTTTTTAATGACGATCCATTCAGCAGATGGCGTAGCTAAGTCTAACGCTCAAAGGGAGCAATGTCGGCCAACTATCGTACAACCATCATGGAACGCAGTGAGTGCCCAACTTAAAGAGACCAAATCGCAGCCATCGCTGGGATACGCACATGAGTCTTCTCATTAGGACACGATCATCTTCAAGTTATTGCATAATATAATATACAAGAATAATAGATAAATAACTTAGTTATGAAGAAACATCTCCACAAGTGTAAACATGAAAATTATGATAATTGAAATGTCAAGGACAATACATTTTTCTCAAAAATGTAATTATCATTTTTAGTTTATATCACTTTGGGAATGCATTGCCATACAAAAGTTGTTATCACTATGATCTCATAAATACTACAAAGTTTTATATTGCAGTTTAGTAGTACCAGTAAGAGTAGAAAGCACAGTAATACTTAAAACCTTAATTATTTATAGAAATCTTAATTGTTTTAATACCTACTGTAAAATAAAGTGTTAGGTCATAAAAAGCTTCACACCAACAATGAAAATGTCAATAGAAGTTTTAAAAAACATGGATAAAAGAAAATACATAGATTTATATAAAATAATTCTTAAGCATATTTATACAGTACAGTATATAAATCCTCGGAAATTCATTTTTGAATGAACAAATATGTACAAATGCACCACAAAGTAGGTATTGCCTATATGTTTACACGAACAATTAATATTATTGAATTTCAAAACTAATTTATTTAAAACATATAAAGTAAACCAATTCAAAGTTTATTTTTAGTTCTTCAAAGCTGGTAAAGTATCTTCAAACTGGGATAATGTAAATAGACATGTTCGGCTATCAAACAATACACACTCAATGAGTATGGTAGTGGCACAATGGGATAACCTTTTGAGGTATGTTACTTGGCTTTAAACTTGACAATCATTGTGTTTGGGTAGGATACTCTAAACACTCTAAGCTTTAATCAGAAAAATAGTGAGGAATTGTCACCCAGAGTACGGATCAACTCGCGTTGTCATGTCTGTAGCATATACCGTGCTGTCTTGAGTGATTATGTATCAACACAGCGATAATTTTTTCTTGGTGATCCTTCACTCATGCGCCTACAAAGAGTGCATGAATACCTGAATAACACAAGAGTGAGCCATGCATTGCACTTTACTAACTTTTAGCAGGATTTCATTAATTAATTTTGCTTCCTAGCTCAAATTTAGTAAAACACGTCGCTATAAAGATGACACGTACCACATATCACATAGTAGGTAGTGTTTTCAACGACAATCGCTATACTTACCCGACATATATCCATATAGATATTCATCGTAAACCGGAGAACCTAGGCACGCCTTATGGAAACAACAGGACGGTCAAAGATAAGAAGAGCGTGAAAACATACTGAAGCAAAATGGGAATAAGTGATCACTATCGCGTCTTGCGGCTAACATGACTCACCTTAGTGTAAAACTGGCTGTTTCCTGTTTCGATGCGAAAGGAGCTACGTAAGGAGTCATTCTCGCTATCTGACAGTTTCCGAACACGTTTACCCCTAGAAAGGAAATCGTGAAATTAGAACGCTAGGATGTAACTAATCATAAATGCTACGTCTAATCAGCAGATATATATAATTCATTATTTTCACTTTATAATAAAATGAACAGGTCCCACCCTAACGAGATTTGGAAACTTCAAAGATATGAATTAACTTAACATACTTTTATTATGATTATAAAGCCGGTTTCAATTACATAGAAAGCTTTTATTTTGCTTCTCTTTCAAAGATGATTGGTGAACACTTGCCAACTACTGTCCTTCCAATTTTCTTATTAATTTTTTGTATGTTTGCCAAAAGCTGATGAGTCACATTGTGAAATATTTGATTGAAACAGAAATGATTAATAATAATAATAATGTTATTAATAATGTTAGCTAAAACAACAACAAAAAACCATTATAATATTGTATAATATTACCATACTATATTTTAAAACATTTATTTGAAATAGAAATAACATAAACTATAATAACAACATTATAAACAATTAATTACTTATAATAAATATATTATTATCATTATTATTATTAATAATATTATTATTATTCATAACATTATTTTTTAAAGCCCATAATATTATTTCAAATTAGTAAGAGCATAGGGGAAGATAAAAACACAAGGGAAGAGTAAGGGCATAGGGAAAGAGTAAGGGCATAGGGGGAAACTAAGGGCATTTGGGAAGAGTAAGGGCACAGGGAAAGAGTAAGGGTACAGGGAAAGAGTTAAGGGTACAGGGAAAGAGTAAGGGTACAGGGAAAGAGTAAGGGCACAGGGGAAGAGTAAGTGCACAGGGGAAGCGTGGCCATTTGAGAATAGCAAAGGCATAGAGAAAGAGTAAGGGCATTGGGAAAGAATAAGGGCACAGGGGAAGAGTAAGGGAAAAGTAAGGGCATAGGGAAAGAGTAACAGTGTAGGGAAAGTGTAAGGCACAGGGTAAGATTAAGGGCATTGGGAAAAAATAAGGGCATAGGGAAAGAGTGGGGCATACAGTAGGGAAAAGGGTATAGGGAAATAGGGCATAGGGGAAGAGTAAGGATAGGAGAGAGTAATTGTAAGGCTTTTTACAGTATTAAAAAAAAAAAAAACAATAACATGTGCATAATGCACTGTGAAGCTAAGCCGGATGACAAGCATTATTGCTACACCTAGCACATAAGAGAGAGGTCAGGTGTGCAGTTCCTTCGCATTTGACCTCATAGAATCAAGGCTTACTGGAACGAAATTGTGAATCATGGCTTGAAATACCAACTTGTTCATATTGTTGTCCTTTTATTAACCAGATGAATGGTTAGGTCTAATGTAAGCGGAAATTTAATGCCTATTCATTCATTTTATCAGCAATGAATAAAATTGCTGCTACAATCACTACACGAGTTGCTGGTTCTTTCCTGAAGAGGTAAAACAAACAAAATCACATACAAATCACACCTAAGATAAGAAAGTCGATAACTACAACAAGGTTGTTTATCGATGCCTGCCATTGATTAGTAAATAAGGGAACCAGTGGCGTGGAAGGAAGCAGAAGCAGCAGCAGTAGCAACGTTCCGCATGAACGAGCACTTAAGTCTGAAGCACTTTTCAACGACTCTTGTCATTGTAATAATTACAACCGATAGCAGACACAACCACCGATAAACCACATCATGTGCTCAATTAAATAGATTGGATAGCCAATAGTGATCTTGTGACAGTACTATTTCTGCGTTATAATATAAGCCAAGCTGAGGTTCATGAAACTCGCAACAACTGATATTTAACAGTCCACATCAAACAACATCCTAGCCACCATGTTTTTCGTCCTTTTGATTCTTAGTTCTTTTGGTTCTTGGTTGGATCAGTTTCAATATGCTAACGTTTGCAAGCTTCTCCAGAATCGAGAGCACAAACTAAAACCCTTCACATTGATCATCCCCGAAGAATATCATTTTCATATTTAATTATCTGTATGGTATACTTGTATTATTAATAATGTAAACACTAAAACTTTGCACTTCAAATTAAAGTTTATTAGATTAACAGAGACAGCTTTATGAACATATATTATAAAATATAATTAAATTTCCTATTCAGGGTACATTTAAATTACAGTATATGCTTAGTACAGTATGTACATTTATGATCGGTTGTAGTATTCAGCTATACGTACAGTACCATAAAAGATCAACAACTTGAATACGTAATAATGATTTACAAAGGTATAGGGAAAGGTAGAAGAATTCAACAACTTTCTTCTTCTCTAAGTGTCAGTTCAGGTCCAATCAGCAACCGTACGAGCACTTTCATCTGTCATGACAAGGGCCAGATGGACCAGTATGGGGGGGGGGGGGATTATGTGGTAGTGCCATAGACAAATTATAAATACAGATTTTCGTTTAACATATTTGGTATGCCTTGACCTTCAACATGATGCACCATGAAACTATAGGAAGTATTATTTCAAATAAAGTAGCTGTAATAAAAAAATTTAATCCAGGACATTGAAATTGAAAGGCTGCAAGCAAATTAACTAATAACAGCTGTATATTTAAAATGAAGTTGTACTCAGTTTCATATTGAAATTGCCATCTAGCAGACAATGAACGGCAAACTATGTGTTTCATTTCTGTAATTAATTCAAATCATGTTATCTACTTCCTCATAAATTCAAACATTACATTTTTTCATTCGCATCTAGCAGGTACCTAACTCATCATTTACTTGATTCTTCATTCATTTATTATTTCACTTGCAACTTACATAGGCTGACTAAACTTAAATTATAATGGGTACAGCAAGTGACAGGGACATGAAAGGTATACTTTGAAAATGGCCCTGTGGAAAAGAGTTCAAACTTCAAACCAATAATTATCTATTCTACATGTAAATCCATCATCAATCACATGAAAATAACAATTGAACAAATTGTATACAGTATATAAAAAGTAAATAACAACAGCAAAGTTTCCATACAGTAAAAGTTTTAGTTGTGAAAATTAAACCATGAAATTTTAGGAATTGAACCTAGGACCATTGATAAATAGGTGGGTGTCTCCAATGCAAGACACACAATGTTCATACACAATAACTGTTGTCTTCTCATTGCATAAACGTAATACTGCTAACCAAAAAAATGTAACTCTCACTAAACATGAACATAATCGTGTACTGCAGTTGCTTTGCCAAGTACTTTCAGATATTAAGATTAAAGAACATGTACACACTGCAACTTGCATGATGTTCATCACCTAATAATCTAGCAGGCAGTCTGACAAATTAGTGATTTAATGTTACTGTACAGTACCGTACAGTAGCAAAAAACGCAATTTTCGGGCACCTGCAAAAAAAATTCTCAGGGTTGCATATCTCTAAATCATCCTACAGAGAGAGTTTTCAAAACAAAAGCCTTGCAACTACAAATTCATCACTTGGAATAATTATGCACCATTTTCTAGCACCTTTGTAGCAGGCGGATATTGGAAATTTTCCCCAATCTATCTGATGGACAGATAATCTTAACTGAATTTTGATGGTGGTGACAGACTTTTTCTTTGTTAAAGCTCATTTATCACTATATTTTATAAGAACTTGAATTTGAAAGGTCAAAACATGTTCAGTCCTGCCAATGCAGCCAATTAAGCGCATGCTTCTATTATAGGTCATAGAGAGTAGATTCCTTAAAACACATTGAACAACAGATATTCCGCTCTTTATTGGTCATCAAGTTTTTAAAAAAAAGAACCAAAGAAACTCCTTACCCGTGCCGGAAACAAAGACTGAGTGTACGTCTTCTCGTCATGGCTAGTCTGCTTTAAGTAATTCCTTCTAAATTGAAGTAAGTCCTTCCTTTCCCTACCGAAATGAACTTGATGCTGCAGGCTGAGCTTCTAGCTCTGGCTCTGCGAGGGCTTTCTGCTGACTCACGGGAAATCGCCACTTTCCTCCCGTGGCGTAACTTCTGCGATACTTAAATCTTAATATAGCAAAATGCACACAGTTGCTACTACCCTCAACCAATGAGACACTACAGGAAACAGGTCCATACTACAGTATGTAGCGTGCAACATTAACTTATACAAGTTATATATTATATGTTACCAATATGAATATTACGACACTTCCTCGTTTCATAAGCCTTTTATGGAAATTTTAGTGAGTTTCCATATAGAAATTCATTTATCAATTTTGGCTAAAGCTGAGACTACAAGAGAGAAATCAAAAGTAAAATTTGATTTTTGTTCCTGCTAAACTTCAGAAAAGAGGTCAATTGATAACAGCATGCAAAATTATTGCTTGACCAGGCATAAAACATATTTAATATTTCAATATGATTTGACCATCAAAATAAACAAATTTCACATTAAAAAATTATATTGATGAGACTCACCAATATATGAAATTTTAAACATACCAAAGAATGAAGCGTTACTTTTCCATTGCATTATTTTAGGGATTTCACATTGTTGCAATTATCTGTGTTTATATTTCACAATAAGTGGTAATATTTGTCAGGGAGACATGTAAAACAGTGGTGGCTCTAGGATATATTTTCTGGGGGAGGGCTAAGCTGTCTGACAGTGAGTTCGTAGGCCCGAGCTGGGAGAAGGGTTTGAGAGGGGAGTTTCCCCTCCCAAATGAATTTTTGTTAAGGAAATTTCTTCAGCCTTGCCGAAGTTTACAGCTCTGGGCCTACTTAGTGTAAATGAGTATAATTTCTAGTTGTGATTTGAATCATCTATGATATCAGCTCTCACTGGCTAACGACAGTGGCCTGGTAACTTAGGGGCCCTAGGATATTAATCAAAATTTTTTTCCAGGACCATGGGCCACAAATCAGCTGCATGCAGCCTCTCAATGAGCAGAACTTGTAAAAAAGATCATCAAAATACACCATTTAAACAAAAGGTCCACTGATAATCTCAGATAAGATAGTATAATACATACTCCAAGTATTGATACTTGGAGTATGTATTATACTATCTTATACACCCTTTAAACGTCAAGAATGCTAGAATGGACAAGGTATCGCTCCGTACCACATGGTACCCCAGTTGCTCCGCAATCCTCAGGGTAGTAGGGCCTTAACACCAGCCTCTTAATTATGCCACTATGAAATTTCTATCTCACTGCTTTTTCAACAAAAGCCTGAGAAGCATTGACACTGAAAATAAAAAAAGGCCTGTAGGAAAAGAAAGGCAATATGATATGGGTTTGATCACTTTCAATACTAACCTATAGACCTGATATTTATGATTGTATTTTGTGGATAATACCAATTCCAAAACTCAATACTGATGACAGCATTTGCTATGTCCATATCTACTGTATTATATTTATTTCTAATTCAAAAGAATTATTCAGAAAGAATAACTGGCAAATTCACCCTCCACAATCCCGGCTCACTATGCTGACTAATGAAAAATATAAACAAATTTCTTATGAACTAAATAGCGGCCATTCAATTAACTATAATAAATAGTTATAGTGTATTACAGTACAAAAATCCCATGGGTTCAAAAAAAGTATAAATCAGTAAGAAATTCTGAACAAACACAAACACTGCCAAAAAATATATTCAAACTCAGGCTCAATCATCACTGATGATTTGCTGTACTCACCTGTGAGCTTTGGTGAAAGAATCCTCCCTCTTAGCTGCCATAGTGATGTGCAGGTAGTCAACCCTTGATGGGAGCTAAACAGGTTCCCATGCTCTAGGCAGGTAGGCAGCTCTCTCAAATGACATGAAATTACCAGGCCTAGCAATTCGGCTCCTTATCAACCTTCATACTATAATTTCTATCCATCCTCGTAACTCATCTACAAAGAAAACAGAATGAGTAAAATTATCTGGTTAAAAACCATCACATATGTACACAGTATCCAACTGTAAAATGGTCAAAAGATCTGATAAACAACAATGGAATCGTATAGCGACACACAGGCAATACCGTTCAAGGCAAATTGTATCAAGTGAAGACACAGCAGGGTTTGCATCTACTGTATCCCAAAATTACAGTAGCTCTTGACTACAACTGAACCTGGTGGGCCTTAGGTGTCCGTGAATGTCCTTAGAAGTTTTACTCCATCTTGTGAAGTGATCCTCATGAATTATTCATTAACGAACACAGGATGTTATCTCTGGATCAAAATAAGTTTCAAGTAACAAGAGCAATACCTTTAATAGTACCTGCAAACTACAGTTGCCTCTTTAGCTTTTATATTATCTATAGTGGTTTGTAGGTTTTGAATTATTCTCGCTTGGAGTAAGCTCAAATGAACCATGTCTAACTCAAGTTGCTTTCATGGGGAGTCCAACAAATGAATGTGAATAATGGTTTACACGTCCTATAACTTGTAACTAATTCCATGAAATGCTGAATATGACATCAAAATTGGCATTCATGATCTGAATGTGAAACTCAGATATTATTCTCTACTGCTGCTACAGCATCAGTGTATTAGAATTATTAACTGCAGTTTAACATCTACTGTAGTTCATGTGCCACAATTATATTGTATTCTATCTAAATCAGTCTATCTAATTCGAATAAAAAAAAAATGTGCATAATTATTGTAGTTTATACAAGGCGATTTTTAATGGAATACAGCAATTATTCTTTTCTATTGAAATAGAGAATACAGTAGGAACTATCACAATCATACACAATTAATTGCTGCGAAGCAGCCAATTCATATTCTTGACAGCAATTTGACCTCTGAAAGGTCATTGTCAAAAAACAAGGGCCTAAGACGACAGAAAAGCGAAGTTTCCTTCTTTCGTTCTGCCGGGTAAAATCAATTACTTTAGGCGACGTTTGTAGACTAACCAACACGTACCAACGTCCGCATGTCGCGCTAGCCTTATCCTACTCTAGGCCTAGACTAGCTAGTATGGTATAGGCCTAGCCTTGAAGGGACGAATGTCCCAATGAAAAACGTCGCTCCTTGATATCTAACAATGTCTATTTAACATCACAATAATTCATTATTAGACCTATAGTTGTTTCTTGAATTGTACTCCACAAATCTCAGCCGATACCTCGCACAACTCGAGTAACATCTCATATCTATTGTCAGGACGTTATGGCTCGCTGGCGCACACTTGCGATGTCTCGCACTTGTGATCAAATAACACGCTGACTCGCACTTTGGCAACACTCTTTGGCAGTCAACTCGCCCCTAGAAAACCCGCCCTTGGAACTTTCTCCGTAAAAAAAAAGGTACACTTCCTAGACCATGCAGACTTCAAAATAAAAATTGTAACCTTTGGTAATCAACTCATTTTCCACATACATAGAAATTTTTGTAACTTTATTAAAAAAACCTAAACCATAATTCACCACTATAGACACTTTTTGACAAAAATGAAAAATTACAACTTTGTTACCCAATGAGAAGTGTTCTAATATAGACAGTGGGTCGTGTCTCATATTATTTGTTATATTTTTATTATTCATTATTTTCACTTGACTCGCATAAATAATTTATATGCAGTTGTACTTCGCAGCACTTCACTTGCAATTTGCAATTTCTAGTTTTACTATACTAGTCCTGATATCCATTCACCCAACAGAGATAATAATTCTGGAACTAGAACAACATTCATCATTAAAAAAAAACAGAATTTATTGTATTTGAAACATTGATTCTTGTAAATCAAACCTTAAAATTGTATACCACCATGCTAGTACTTAGCCACATACCATGGTGATATTTTGAAATTTATGACTACAGTATAGTTACAATATGTACAGTACTATACTCCGTTCCTTGTACTGGGCCTCCCTGTCTATTATTAACAACATGATGCATATATTTTGTTTAGTTTACACCAGTCAAAAGCAATTTTAGTAGTCATCATTTTTATAACAACAATTTGAATGTAATCATACAAATGCTTAACATCAAACTTGTATCTTGCATTACTTACTTAGATTATACTTTAAAACAGGTCTTATGTTACTAGTACTGTAATTCTTTTAAAAATAAAAATAAAACAATAATAAAAATAATGAAATATCAATATTAACAATTATAATATAACAATATTTAACTATATTAATAAATAATATGATAGTATAAAATTATGAATAAGAATACGATCAACTTTATTGCAATTTGCATAAAATATGAAATTAACAATAATTCATATGAAATTAATATAGGATTGCACAGGACAAAGAAAACATAAAGCCCAATACTACTATACATTCACATACACTGGAATTCCCACAAGATCCCAACATCATTCTTGTGAGCCCGCATTTATCCTGTGATTGGCATCAGTTTGTATTTGTTATGTCGGTTAGCAATGCACCGTGGCTGCCACAAGTTCCAAGTGAAAATTTCAAATTTTTCTTTAAAAGGACGAAAGTTTTTTTTAATTTTTTTTTAAATCATTAATTCACTAAATGAGGAGGGAATTTTTGCGATCCTATCACCTAACTTGCACTGGGGTCACATGACCACATCCGAAATGTGATGATTCCTTACAGCACATTAACATATAAAGTATTGTCTATCGCTACCTATCATGCAACTATGATAACTCAAAGGGTCCTGACATCCCACAATGACAATAGTACTGTAATAATAGTATTACAGATAAATAATTGTATGTCTTGCACTTTCTTCTCAACACAGAAAAAAATGCAATGATACCTAATAAGTCTGTTAATATTAATAGGAAGTAAGAGTTGTTTTTTAATCAAATGCAAATAGAATCCTAGCATACTCTATTGACAGTACAAAATTTGAACTCAGAACCTCACGGAGGTGGTCAAAGGGATGAAAACTCTGTAAATTTATGGATTCTAAAGGCTTTTCGGTAATAATTTGTTTTCCCCCAACAAATTATTTTTCTTTCAGGCAAAGGGGAGGGGGAAGAGGAAGGGAAATCTCTTCAATGGAAGGGTCCTACCCAACTCTAGACAGTATTATTTTTAAAAATCACTTACCTGGCATTAAATCTGGATTTCAAATGCTATGTACAGTATTATCCTCTATTAATGAGTAGTATAAAAAGACAGAGAAAAAAATGGTTCACTTTTGAGAAAGTTGCTTAGTAAGGTCATGTGACGATGATGTTACATCACTGATAACTGAAGCCAAATCATTTCTTGCTATGCCTCATTTCACGAAAGGCTTTACAGCTTAGTTTATACCACACTTACAACTATAATGACAGAATACTATCTATGATGTATTACACAATACATATGACCTTTTCAATCATTCTCCAGATAAATCTCTCGAGAAATGACTCTTCAATCCAGCATCAAAGAAGCTCTCAGTTTGCTATGTGAATAATTTAAATACTCACTGCATATGTTTGGTTTTTCTTTTTTTTGCAAATCAAAGTATAATTTGATTTTCATAATCCCACAGTAGTTCTCATTTCCATCTGAAAGCTTTAATTTACTTTCCAGTATAATCTTTGTCTTTTTCTTTTGATCATCATCATTTTTTTTTTCTTTTTATTGATGTTTTAAAAAGTTACAAAAAACAAATTTAATGATTTTAAAAAAAAAGGCTACAATATTTCAGGGGGAAAAACAAATTCAATGTTTTTTAAGCACCATCAATTAAGTGTTAAAATATTGGTAATAAGAAAACACTCAGATCGCAATGAATTGGAAATTATATTATTATTACTCTGACATTTTCATCAAAAGTGAAATGCTCAGACTTCAACACCTACAGTATTCATAACAGCATAATATTATGTACTATCCTGTATACTGTATTTCACACAGATTCTCAGCTGTTTTGAAACCATTCCAAAAATATTTGTGTATCATCACAACCAATAAATCACTTGGATGTGGGTAGATTGTCCTAGCTAATTTGTCACAATATAATCAAAATGTATTCAAGTTTTAAACTGCAACTTGAAAAAGGAGAATGATACAGAGCCTACAGTAATACGATGTTGATGATACTGATAATAGTAGTTACTTACAGAATATAAATCATTGATGATTTTAATCAATATTTTATCATTATCATCTAGATAAATAATGTAAAAATAATAAAATGATGACAATAACAATGTATGATGATCATAAATTTAATGTTGATGATTATGATAATGATGATGATGTTGATGATTATGACAATAATTATAAAAATGATAATGACAAGAGTGACATGCCATAACAGCTCAAGAATCTGCCATTCCTGTACTATAAACATTTCAGAAAGCTTTATGACGATAAATCAACCATTCAACTTTAAAGTTGCAGATTACAGTATACAGTATTATAGCATCATCACTCCAACAGTCTACTAATAAATAAAAGCATCCAACAATCAAATATGAAAATCTTGTTAATTTAGTTTAAAATTTAGTTACCACATACATTAACAACGAACAGTTTATCAGGATATTATGGAGACACTGAAAGAGAGCTTAATTTTTATCAATACGAAAACTTATCATGACACCTCAGAATAAAATGCACAACATTAAGCCTGAGATTTAAGCTAGAGTATTACAGATTTGAGTCACAAACCTTGAAGTTTATAAAATGTTTGATTTGTTATTAGAAAGACAGCAAGTCATCTTCATCTATTTTGTCTCGTTTATTACTGTACCATTGAAATCCGATACTTATACTCTAAAATTATTTTATTTGTTTCAATCATTGTCGAACTTGCCAAAGCGCCCATCCCCATCTTTCCCACTGACCGCAAATTGTTGAACTTAAAATTATTTTTTAATGCGTTGAGCAGGACATATTCTAAATCATAAAACAGCTTTAAATGGCCCAAAATTACCCAGTTTTTCTAGGGCTTAGCCTTCTGGACCCTACTCAGTGATTTGCCCTTGAACAACCCTTACCAGGAAGCCTTGTGGCTCCAGTGAGTGGCCTCCAACTAGTGGCATAACGGTAGGGCCGAGGGCCCTGGCTTTCTGAGATTATGATTTTCTTTTTATCTCCATTTTTATAGGGGCCCCCTTTAATATGTCACTGGATATGATATGTCCTCCACAGTTGATGTCAGAGACACCTTATCCTGTTATGTATCAACAAAGTGCTTTTGGATCAAGGTGCTAGATTGAGGACCCTATGGATAGGGGATCCTTCAATGCCCCTAGGAGTCGTGGGCCATGTGGATTGCCGCCCAAGAGCATTATGCCACTACCTCCACAGAAAACTGTCAAACCTCCTGTTTTAAAAGATGTTCTCCCATTAGTATCATAATAAACCTTACTACTTTATTAGGAAGAGTAAAGAGATGGGTAGAGAAAAAATATTTTATAAAAACATTCATTGGATATTGGGTACTGTTAAGTCTACTGTGAGTATGGTTAATGTTTTTTATGGTTGTGTAAAAGCGTTGGAACTATAACCACAGAGAACAATTATTAATTAATAATTGTGAGTCTTAGGCCAAACTATTCTTCTTTACTAATGAATAATAAATATACCTGTGCTGTATATAGATCTAGAGGACAATGTAATGCCTGGCCTTGGCCTATCCAGGGAGTTACTATATATACCTCCCAGGCCTAGCATAGGCAAGTTTTATTAATAATTTATTAATAGGTTAGATATTATAGGCCTAGCCTAGGTACTGTATAAAAAACTAATATTTTCGTAAAGTAAAGCATTCGCCTATTCACATTTATTCTGTGAGTACTTAATGCATATTTGAACCATAAAATTATGAACAACCATTGGATTATTTGGTTTATAAACCAAAATTCAAAATTTCTAATGATCTAGAGTGAGCTAGGCCTAGCCTATATTTCATTTCATAATGAACTCCTGGCTAGGCTCCATCTCACCATCTTCATTCATGATAAGCGCACCCGCGAGATTGCAGACAACGGGTGCACGTTGCCATCTGCATCCGATCCGAAACACATGTGAAAAATCAATCACTAACAAACGACAAATTAAAACCTGCTAATAGCAAATCTGAGTCATTCCTTCCCACAACAAAACTAACTATCATCCTCCACAGTTCATATAAAAACAGTCCATTACTACCGTGATATATTAGGTCATTCAAAAACTAATAAATAATAAACTCTTACTTTTTTGGGTTTCGCTCCAGATGCGTTGTCTGTTCACTGAGTTGAGCCATGAATCCTTGTTTGGTCATGTGACATGACAGATGACCTTGAATGAAGTACGTATCGATTTGTTTTGGGTACTTTGTTCATGGTTTAATCAGGGAGGTGTATGCTTACATCTCCCTGGTTTAATTATGTACAGCACTGTACTGTACACATTTTTATATATTATATAGGAGCCGAAGACATATTATAACACTGAGGATGAAATTGCTTAAAATTAAGGACAAAATATGGATAATAAGGACACATTCAATCTGGGGTAAAATGTCAAATGAGATTTCTATTATTTTTTTTATATAAAAAAAAAGCCAACAAATTATACCTGTACCTTATTTGCAGGTGGTGTGACATGTAATACCTAGTAAAGTAATATCTGTAAAATAATAATTTTCTATGTTTGGAAAGTGTGTAAAAATAAGAACAAAATAAGAACATTTTGAGCCTCAAATCGGCCAAAAAATAAGAACACGATCCTGGGCCGGCGTGGTTCTCATTAAAAATAGGGCCCTTTTGGGGAAGGCTGTTTAATCAACCGCCAGACAGGCCGATCCCTCCGCTACAAAAATGTGGAGCAAACTAACGTCTCACAATTGGCACAAAATTTCCAGTTTTGCCAAGTTTCTCTATTATTTTTAATATAGGCCCAATAACTGGACATAGTTACAGTATAGGTGCACATGGCTATTTTTAAATATTCGCTGAGCTCAGGACCGTTGCGGGTTACAAACAATGAAAGAAATAATAAATTCAGCAATAAAGAAATGATTGTCGGTTCTGTTCAATTAGTTTTAACTTTGATTTGTAAGGGAGGTTGTAATGTAGTACTGGTCGGAGTTTCTTCTATACCATAGGCGAGAATCAATCATTATTTATAGGCCTATTGAAAGAATGGAAGGAACTCAGGTTTGTATATATATAAATATATATATATATATATATAACATGTGAGTCAAGAACGAAAATAAATGACAGAGGTGGACGTGTGACAGAACATAAAATATATATTATTTAATAGAAAGACGAATATTTCGTCCTGTACTCAGAACTTCTTCAGTGTTAATGAAATGTACAGAACTATTGGCATCATATAAACAAAGCAATCATAAAGGTGACTAGATAGAGGCGGAGCAAAACCCCGTTAAAAGTCAAATAAATCAATCCTATACAGTATATTGCTATAAACATCATATAGATTATAGAAAAAGACGAGCATATATATATGTGTGAATGGAATAAATTATCAAGTACACAGTATAGCATAAAGTTAAGCTACCAAAGAGCCCAAAAGGGGCAGCTGAAATGCATGACAGTTACAAGCATGAAAAGGGGAGACTGATAAATCTCAGCCAAAATTTATTTATTATTTGTGTGTGTGTGTATGTGTGTGTATGTATGTATGTATGAATATATATATCCTTTTTCGAAATTTCCCCGCGCCCCTCACCCCCGACCTCGGGGCTTTACCCCTCAAAAAAAATACGCACCTATGCCTCGGCGTTTTTATGTTTTTGTTTTTTTTTTGTTTTGTTTCTGGCTTGACGTGACTGTCAGAGACTTCATATGCTATTTTGACTTTATATAGGGGAAAACTCTAAACCACTTGGGGGAAAATGCTATTTTTTGAATATTAATTTTATCTTAATATAATTATAATTGATATTCATATTGATACACTATTGGCCTAAATGATTCAGTGGTTTACCTGTGGTGATGTTCTATAATGTTCACCTGCCTACGTTAAAACTGAAATAGGAACGCCATCTTTAATGACGTCAAGTCTATTAAAAAAAGTTTGTTTTATTTTCGTCCGTTCTTACACTGAAAATACATTACGGGATTTTCCCTCCTAAATATAGGTATTGTTTACCAAGTTTCTTATTTGATTGTTGTGACTGCTTGATTACGTATGTATAACGTTTTGGTTTTTGAACTCTGTGGCGCAATTTGTGTAAATAAATCGGATTTCAATTAGGCATGCCTAGGATTAAAATATTCAATTACTCATTTAAATGATAAACATAAGTTATCAACTTAAAATGACGGGAAACATGATTGATAGGATCCTTTACCACTGTTAACACGACACACAGCTATGCAATCATGACAAGGAAAAATACAAATCGTTCCCCAACGGGCCCCCCCCCCCACCTAATCTCTTAACACCCAATTTCACTTTTACTCAATATCAAATTGCACGGTCGACCTTGTTTGTTTCTTTTTAAACAAACGTGTTGGGTTTCATTCAGTGCGGGGATCGATCTCCAAAAGACTCATATTTAAAAACTAACAAATACAATACTCAGTTTTAATTCTTGTTCACGCTGCAGGAGTGGTTAAAAACTATAGAGGGCGTAAACAAATATATCTCCACTAGTGCACAGAATTCGGCACCTTGTGGATCTCCAGGAGCTGGTTATGAAATTAACTATTGTATTAACTCAGTGAGCAATGAAGGCAAGTGCTAGCCATTGATTTATAAATCAGACTTAAAACAAATGTTTTATTCGATTTAGTAACGTAACGTTTATGGGAACGTTTATGTAGTAAGTGGAAGTTAATTTCGTAATTATGTTTACATGAAGTAAATGAACAGATCCTTATACCTCCAACTGCTTATAAATACATCTGATCTTGCCTTGTAGAGATCATTTGTAAAGAATAAATGCAAACATTTCAATAAAAACAATCAACAGCTGATGGTTTATTTGTTTTTTGTTTTTTTTCTCGTAATCACTGGTAATACCAAACATAAGTATTACATACTGTATATCAGTCTTTAATTCCGCTATTCCAAAAAAACTTTAGCAACATAACTACAGTGTTACTCTTTGTGTTTGGTTTGGTAAGTCATTCTATTTTGTTGATGTTTTCTCAAAGCACTTTGTAACCTGGGAAAGTAATTCTTGATATATTCTTAGATTAAATCATAACACCAATAATCAAGACACATTTTACACATTTGAAATGGCACAGGTAATATTAAAGATTCATTTCAAATATTGTGAATATTTTGAAATGAATCTTTAATATTACCTGTGTGAGTACAAATTCTTTAAAACAGCATCAAAACAAAACTTGTATATTATTTTGTTAAATGGTTATTTAACTATTTAATCAAGGGTAATAATGCAAACACTAAAGAATTTATTAACTATTTGTTATAGCTTTATATATTTATCAATTATAAATTAAACATCATTACCACTAATATGAACAAATCAATCATCCTTTAAAAAAACATTAAATAATATTTGATTTTAGTATTCATGTATCAATAAACATGCCTGAGAAAATGGTTAGCCAGATTTGACCAGAAGAGATTTAAATGGTCATTTATTATAAACCAATGTTCAATTCAAGATAAGAGATGAAATTACAGCCCTTACTATGTTATCATGATTAAAAGCTCTTGTACTGCTTTGAATTTCAAGAACTGAAACAGCAATTAATTATCATAAATCTATGTGTTAAACACTCAACAGTCCAATTATCTTTTAAAGATAAAACTGTGAAGTTATCATGTCCTGTAAAGCCGTGGACTCACTACACCTGAGAGTTATAGTCTGACGCAAGCCTATGAAGAATGCACACCACGAGGCGTACACAGCGAATCTTTCTTAATGACGACTGGTTCAGATTACCACTGTAAATCAGTAGGCAGTGTCACGTCAACTAGCGCTTAAAGTGAGCGAAGATGGATTCATCATACGATGGCCGTATGACCGTCTACAATGCAGTGAGTTCCCGGCTTAATAGGTAATATTATATAATAGGCCCAACTATTCCATCCTTTGCTTCCTATGCTGCCCATAACATGGCTATAGCTTTAGCAAGACCAACATCATTAAAGTTGAAGTAACACAGGCTAGCAAATACCAAGCTTGAGGTTATTAGAAGACTTTTGTTGACAAATTTAGGGAGGGTTGGACCATGAACATAGTCTGTGAAAACCTGTTCCATACCCCTGAAAGAAAAAAACGATAATCATGAGTTTTCAATACATGCTGTGTAGGGAGAAGATTTTACACAAAGTCACTTTCTAATATTATTATTTTTCTAATTCAATTGAAAGAACAAAAGTATTTACAAAGAATGTGATGTTAATTAGTTTTGATGCCTTTACTTCGATTGGGGCGTATGAAGTACCGTAATACCTTAAATAGAGCCCCATGAGCTTAATCGCAAAAAGAAGTCCCCCTCTATAGTTTGCAAAAGTAATCTTGAAAAGAAATCCATCTCTAAAAGAGGCCCATCTGAAAAAGAGACCCATCCAAGGGTCCTAGAAAAAAGAAGCCCAGTTCTTCTATTCCAGATTTTACGGTATAACTACCTGTATACCTCATAAATATTAATTAGGTAGTTAACAACATTTCATTAGTCAATTCCATAAGGGGTGTGGTAGTTTCTACTACTTCCTGTGGGTCAAATTTACACATACGCAGGCAGTTTACCCTGCCTACGTGAACCGTATGAACCGTAAACTGCATAATATTACCCTCACAGATTGAAATGGCTAATGTAGACAGACAGTTTGCTGTTTAATATTTATGAGGCATGTAAAACACATACAACATGTTATATTTTCGGCAAGGCAAGTGAATTTGATTTCCCTCATCCGAAGCTTACCAGTGGCAATGCAATACAAGTGATGCTGCTAGGGCGTAGTCTAAGGCTGGATTTGGGAAGGCTAAAGCTGCCGGAATAACACCCAGCAATCCGATGGACACTACACGCTCAGTTTTCCAGTGTGTTGAGCTCATCATTCCTGGCGGAAGAACATACAAATATAAATACTAACTAGTATTTGTTAAGGATCATAAAAGCAACAATTTAAAAGCCATCTTTACAATGCAATAAAACTTACCAGTCCATATTCAATCTTTTTTTTTTTTTTAATTAATTGTGGAGTGTAAAGCAGTACAGAAATACAGTAGAACCCCCTCCTTTAGGACATCATATTAATGTGACAAATGTTTAGCTGCGGAGTGAGTAACACTATGGCCAACCCTATTCAGGGGATGACTCTATTAAAGGGGTACTTATTTTGGTCCCACAGATGTCCCCTTAACAAAGATCTCAAACGTCTCAAAATTTAGTAGTACAGTAAATGGAAAATTACGGTAGCACCTAATAATTTTTGCAAAATATGGTTGCTCAAATATACAGGAATAGTGTAGCAACTATGATAAAAGCAAGATTTATGGGTCATTTTTTTCTCAGGTTTCATGGTAATTTATCAGTAATTTGACAAAATCTGAGTAGGCCTATTCCAGGAACAAAACCTAATCGAAAACTCATTTGCTAGGTTGTAACAAGGGTGGTCCAAAAATGCTGGTGTTTTGGGACTCTATAATATGCGTATACATACTGTGCTGTGTAGAATTTGAGAGCTCTGCCTTGGGGGGGGGGTTCTACTGTACAAGATTATTACTGTATAAACACAAATAGAATTACAGTATATTAACAGAAAAATAAGACAATCCAATCTTCAATTGTATCATTCCGCTAGCGCAATTTAAATTAAAATTTTATGAGTATTCAGTGATAAGTTGTCCCATAAATTACAGATCTTACCTGCACTGTTTCGCTGGGGTGATGTGTGTAAGGTGGTTCCAGTAGCAGCAATTGAAGGTAATTTGGAGGCCAAAAAACCTGACTGAGCCAGGACACTACTGCTCCTGCTTAGCCCTGAAAATATGCAAAACATGATGTGCATTTGATTTCTTTAGACAAAGTTAAAAGCAGTACCACTATTCCCCCTTCCAAAAACAAGGTTCACATTTTTAAGTCGAAAATGTACAGAATATAAAATTTATACTGGGGTCTCCATTCCCAGAGTGTGTAGTAGTTATATTAGAATAGATTGATATCACGGAAAAGTGGCTTAATTACTGAAATATGTCTGTTTCAGCAGTTCTCTTTGTGGGACTCTCCCTCCCCCACCCCCGCCAAGTAGCTTTTATCTGTCTCTTTGTTCCAAGCCATTATTGAGAGCAGACATATAGAAGAGTTGATGTCTTCGTAAATTCAAAGCTTTTTATATAGAACTGTAATTACACTTATTATATCTATTACATATGACATTCATTTGAGTATGTAAATTATAATATGCTTAGGCATGATAACTATCATGTTGAGCTATTGTCTGGAAGTACAGTGTGTTTTGTAATTACCATTAAGTAGTAATTAACCAGATTACTTTAATGATCATTAACTTTAAATTATGCAGTGTCAACTTTAAATTAGGCAGCGTCTGAAACTGTTCCTACGATTAAGTTTAACCATTGAAGTTAGTTAAGCTTGATCAGATACCTTTTAATTACTATAGATTAAATCATTATTGACTTTATAATCATTTAATCAGATACAGTGTCATAAACTGAAACTGTTCTAGAATTGATTACTACAGTATCTATGTTAATTTTACAATTACATAATGTATGCAATCTTAAGTATTACAGTATTATATATTTTTGATGTAATTAAGTTAATTGTGAATCCACCAGACAACTGCTCACACATTAGATCTAATTTAAGATGGCCTCATTAGTGATAAGAATAAGAAAGGCTAACCATTGGTGGCACTGACGGTAGGTGGTGCTCTTTATTGTTTACCATTTATCGGTTATGTTGTTGCTATTATGTTTATATAATGTTACCTTTATAGATTATTACACTGTACCAAACTTGGTTATACCAATCTACATAAACCAGGGAGATGTAATGTACATCTCCCTGCATAAACTAATGATTTGCCATGAACTGGCGAGTGGATTAATGTTGATCGATCACAGTCAGTGTAAAGACGACACAACATGGCTTGACTTTAGTTTGATTGATAAATTGTATATCCTTGCTTCTATGTTTATGATGATTTATGATTTAACACATGATTTAGGTTGATTTTAATATGATTAATAACATTAATTATATTGTTTTTGATTTAAGAAACTTTTTTTTTTTTATGTAACTCTACTTTATAGAGGTAGGTTATGTTAATTTTGTACCTCTTTTTACAGAGGCTGCTTTGCCTGCTTAGCGTTGATGTGCCGCTGCCCCGGTGATTGGTTGTGAATTACGTCATCTATACGTCGCAGCCGATCACCGAGAGAAATCCATGCACGCGTGGAAGACCCCATAGGGAACCCCGCACGGAGTGCGGAAGAAAATAGACGAGCAAGCGAATTGAGATACCGAATACCAACCTGAGAAGACATACTGACCTACTTACTGATATACTTTCTTCTACCTAGGCTGGAAGAGCGAGTGTATGGTTAGTTATGCCTACTTTATAGGGTATCCGATCATTTCGGTAGCCCCTTCATTTCGGTCGCGCTATCGCGTTATGCATTTCGGTCGCGGTGTATGGCACGCCGACGGTGCAACCGCAAATCTGAAACATGGGAGCTAAGTAGTATAGTATTCTTATAAACACAAATATTATAGTTTATGATTATTTTACGTGTATCACTTGGTGTTATTTTTCTTTTTTTACAGAAACAAAGAAAATGTTACAAAGTCAACTTGGTTTGAGAAGTTTCTCTTTAACATTTGTTGATATATATTTTATTAATGCATAAATTGAATGGAGGTTTATGAAATAAATATAGTCAATAGATTATATCATACATTTGTTTTCTTGTCTGTTACGTTTCCATTATCTTAAATGTTTTGATCATGTTTATAATTTGATAAATGAACATACTGAATGATAAATGATGAATGAAAATGAAGGAAATATATAGTATTTTCATATTTATTATCCACATAAAATTTTCAATATATTTATAATTAAACACCGTACATTTTAATGGCCCATTTCAGGCTTCTTTTATATTCATAAGCCTGTCAAAATGACTCTTTCTAGTCATAATATTATATAGTTGCGCTAGAATTTAATTTCCTACAAACTAGATTCACATGGTACTCTTGAGGAGAAGCAGTTTGTATTTTCTTGTTTGTTTTATTTCCATTTTTTATACATATTCTGATGTTTATAAAATACATAGTAAAATGCAGTTTTCATATACAATTTTAAATACATGTTAATAGCCATTCCACGGTTTCGGTCTTCGGGGCGGGCTTCCTTCTAAAGCTAGAAAAATTACTACTTCAAGGCCTCCTGTACTAGTTGCCTGGTAACTAACCATAAAATCGTAAAGAAACTTTCCCACAACCAAGGTTCCCACGGTGCTCATGAGGGTGAGAAGGCATATTCTTTGTACGCCGCCTTCAGGAATGTGAACGCATTACACTGCAAAGACAAAAGTAGGTCAGATGCTAAATATAGATGACTAGCTATTTTTAGCAGGTCATGAAAGTGGCAGTGAAGGTGTGCAAGTGCGTTCACCTACTTCAGCTTCATGTCACCATTAACTTTGAGTCATAGGCCTATTTATAAAAAAAAAAAATACATGAATTGTAAAGTACTATAGTTTTAATGGAATGTATAAATACATATATTTTAATATTCTGATATAAAAGTATATTTGATTAAACAAATTAAATCATAATCATAACAACATTCCTAGGCCTTTATTATGAATAATTCAGAAATTGATAAATACAAATATGTACTTGACTATTCACTTCTGAATCTGTAAGAAAAAGAACACGCTAAAATTATATTCAAATTACTTGTAATTAATAACAATCGTAAAAAAACTTAAACAACAATCATACCAAAAAAAAATACAAAGAACATTAGGCTTATGATAGTCAAGTATCGTAAAAAAAGAGACAAAATAAATAAAATTAATACCCAGTCTGCACACGCACCAAAAAACTTTAAAAATACAGAACCCTTTAAAAATTACTTTCCAAACATAAAGCACTAGTACGTACATCGGCGTTCCATACTGAGGCTGTTTATCGCGATTGAAATGCATAACAATACGGCGCGACCGAAATGAAGGCGCAACCAAAAAGATATGTATTCCTTTATAGTTCTGTATAGTATCTCGAGTAGTGTAAGTACCTATAGAGACCTAGCAAATCTCTATAGCGTTCCCAGACTTTCTTTGACCGGTTTCATTTTGCTATGTCACTTTGTCATTTGATGAATAAATGTTATGAAATCAAGACGAGTTACCTGTTGTCGTTGTACGTGTCGACCGCTACCCCACACAAATAGTTAGGGAGGCCAGAGCCTGAGTATTGTTACACTAGAAAGGGATTTCTCTAAAAATCCAGGCTAGGCCCTAGTTAAAATAAACCGCGGGTGTCACTAAAACAGTAATATCGGCGATCACCGGTCCATCGCCTAGCCTAGTACTAGCCTAGTAGTAGTAGCCTGGGCTACTAGTCCTAGCCTAGTGCTACAGTAGTAAAACGTAGGTGCCACCACAAATTAGGTCTACACCTATACTATGTATGAAATAAAACTACCTTTTGTGCATCCTCTTAACATAATTGACATTGCCATTTTCAGAAAAATTGAATACACCTATCAGTATTAGGCGAAAATAGTCGACAGGCTTCACGCACTTAATTCACGACCAAACACACGCCATCTCACGGCCAAATTCGGCCAAACGTTTTTTCGATATCGGCTAAAATCCGATTAGAAGGGGCACATTCATTTAAAATAGGACCTACTACAAAAATTACACGAAAATCAGCGGTCATTCGTTTGAAATTAAAGAAAATTCAAATGATATACACAGAACAATATTCATTTTTCAGTTTTTCTTTTTTAAATTATTCTATCACCATAAAATACATGCAAATCTAGATACATCATAATTCTAAATACTGTAGCCTATGTTCTTTATGGTTGGCATGTAGGCCAATTCAGGGGCGAATCCAGAGATGTCCGAAAGAGGGAGGGGCCGGGGCCGAAAAAAGGGAGGGGCGAAAGTGGGGCCGATCGAGATAACACCACCTTAGGGAAAAATTTTGTTTTCTCTACACGCCCGAAAATAACCTCTGGGGCGTTTAATGGGCGACATATT